TTACTCTTCAGTCTGTGAGAGAACGACTGAAGAGCAGAGGCCTGCAGAGTCCTCCTTATATACTACTGGGGAGGACGATGAGTAAGCGTATAGGAAGAGAGCATGTGACGTCCAGAGGACGCTGACTGAGCGATGAATAACGCTGAGTAAGGGAGCATAATCGACATAAGGTCAGATAGTCCATGGCTGAGTAATGCGAGTAATCCGGACGCTGTCTAGAATAGTCCGGAACATCGTAGAACGTACCAGAATCATATGGAGGGATGGCAGGATGCCAAGTAAGTACAGAACAAAAGAATGTACGTATATGGTAAGTAGGAAAGTCCATGCTGGCGTATGGTAGACGCACAGCCACTATCACTGCCACTCCCGGTCCGGCACAGCCGTAGACACAGAAGTTCAACAAGAGGGAGCTTCAAGCGCATTGGAGGACGACGGCGATGAAGTCTCCTCCAAGTCCGAGCTCCGAGAGCCCCGCCTCGACACTGTCTTCCCCGACCCGGCCCAGCCGCCCGCTTCATCTCTGCCGTCGTTCATCCTCTCCAGCCACCGGCGGCGAGCCGGCTCGTAGTGGCGCATGAACAGTCCATCTTCAGGTGTTTTCGCCTCGACGACAGCGACACCAACCGCCTCGCACCTGCGCTCAATCTCCCTCAGCACTCCCATCCTGTTGTCGTAACCCTCCCACCCGTTCCCACAGCAGCACATAGAACCTATGGGCCCCGGGCCAGGCTGCACTAGGAGGTGGCGTACGCTCGGATACGCCGGCATCCCAGGCGCCCTGATAGAGGCCGACGGCACACTGGGATCCGAGGGGTCGTCACTGAGAGCCCACATGGAATAATGGTGCGTGTCCCGCTTGACCCGCACTCCGACCGCCCCGGCGATGGCGGTGAGGTTGTCGTCTGCGCACGATACGCCCAGATGCGTGACACAGGGGGCGTGGGTGAACCAGAACGGGAGATAGATCCCGTAGGGCCAGCTCGAACCTGAGAAAGGGGGAATGAGGTGCAGGTGCGTCAGCGCAGGGAATAGTGGCGCGGCAGTCGTCCCGTCTGTGTCCGGTACGAGTAAGAGGGGGTCCGCCATCCCTACGAATGTCGCCTCTAGTAAATTAGGGAGGGGACGTTCGATGATGGGGAGGTCTAGGTCGCCCCCGCCGGAAAACCCGCATTGCACGACGAGAGTCACCAGGTCGGGCGTGATCAACTGGAACAACGTCTGTGCCTCGCTGAGATAGTCCTCGTAAGTCGTCGGGCCTAGGTGATTGGCAGCTGAGATGTTTGAGTGATGTGAGGAGGTGGCCTGATGGCCACGGCGGCTGGTACGGCGAATCTGACTTGTCAACTTCTGCATGGCCGCCGCGCAGTAACGAGAGATAGCTAGACTTGATTTCTTCCATATACTGGGCCGCACCTCACGCTGAGGGGGTTGATAGGGTCCTGGAACCAAAATCCCGCCGGGGTAGTACGCGTTGCCTTTTGCTAATGGACTCGGAGCTGGCTCGAGCGAACGCGTGTGTACCAGAGGCCAGGATGCTGCGGCGCCATCTATAGTAGTGTACCCGGGTCCAGCTGGGAACTCTACGACGGGAAATGCCACATGGAGGTGCCGGATGCGAGGCCTGTCCCCGAGCGCGGGGGCGCACTCACGTTCGTATAGTGCGACGAATAGTTGGAGGCGATGGGGGCTGGCGATAAGGGAGATGGAGTGGAAGCGCGTAGCGCGTGCTGCTGCGCGGATGCCCTTTGACACGAGCGAAAGGGAAGTGCCGGTATATCCGCCATCAGTGCATGCAAGCTCGAATATTCGTTGCAGGGTTTCGAGCGGGAGGTTGTCCATGGGGTGCAGGGAGAGAGAGCACGGCTTGATACAACTAGTCGCGGTCTGTGGGAGCGGCAACTTGAGTCGGACCCGCAAGCGATGGTTTTAGGGTTTTCGTGGCAGGCGCGCAGCTCCTTGGGTTGGCTGTGTGAAATCAGTACTTCGATGTCCTCCCAGTGCTCACATGCCCATCGGACATTGGCCGAGAACCCTTTCATCGCAGTCACCAGATCAGGCACTGCAGGCTATAGGGCGGCCCCGTCTGTAAACATACCGTGGGTTGGTGGTACCTCGCATGATGCCGCCGTCGACTTTCGCTCCGGGCAGTCGTTTCCACTGACGGTTTAAACCACCTCATGATGCATTCTCGAGGCCGCGAACCCAGGAAGTGTGTACGGAAAATATGGGGCGACAGTGTGGTGAGCGAAGTGGACGTTGATGCGGTTAAGACGGACGTACCATCTATCAAAAATCAAGCACAAGACTTCGCGAAGCTGCCTTGCGCCGCCGCGCTGAGCCCTGAGATAGCTTGACGCGGAGGCGATGGCGCGCACGGGAATGCAGTAGGTTCCCAGTCAAAAGTTGATATGGAGTGAGAGCACCAGCCGAGCGCGCGGCTGGTGTGAATGTGGCCAGAAACCGTGGAGGCCGCGTATACGCGCTGAGAAAAATGAGACAATAACAAGTGGGCGACACCGAAGCCTTCTCACAGGGAAACTGGGCCTGGAGATGGGTGCCCCGCATGGTGCCCCACCCACGTCGAAGACCGCCGAGCTGAGCCCTTCGACTGGAGCTGCGAAATATTAGAACGAACTTGATCGGGCTGAACTCTGTACGTACTGTGCGACTTTGATTGGTAGGTTACGTCGGAATTGGGGCGAGTGAAACCACTTAGCATATCTTCCAGAATACAAGTACAGTGTGCATAGAAGCCGAGAACATATTGGCAGACTGAGACGAACGCTAGGGATCCTAGAGTCGTTCAACATATAGGGCCCTGTAGTCATCCGCTACTGAGGCTTTCATCTGTCGTTGCCTGTCCTCTCGAGCCACCGGAGACGAGCGCGCTCGCAGTAGTCGTGAAATTGTTCCTCCACAGGTACTTCCGCCTCAACGGCCTTGATGCCAACTTCCCCGCAGCGAGACACCATCTGTCTCAGTCGCTCGAACTGTTCGCCATACCACTGCCAGGTATCCTCGCACACAGCTTCTATGGGTGTGAGCTCGAGCTCAAGATGACGCAGGCTTGGATACGTCGGCGCCAGAGGGGACTCGGGGGGAGACTGGGACCACGGGCTCGGAGGGCCCCAGCGCGAGTTGAGCTCTTCCGAGCTAGGCATTCGCAAACCCCTCCAGGACGTCCCCAGCGGTGGCACGAGAGACTTTGCGAGTCCCGCCCCAACGGCCCGCTCGATCTCCTCGACGTGACTTTCCGCACGGGTTACGCCAAGGCGGCTGACGTGGGGTGCGTGCGCGGACCAGATCGAGAGGGAGAGCCCGCATCTATCCGGCGGTACGAGGTGCAAGCGTGTCATCGCAGGAAAGAGGGGCGCGGCCTTGGTGTCGTCTGAGTCGATGAGGAGCGTGCGGAAGTCCGTCACACCCACGCAGGTCGCCTCGCGTAGACTGTGGAACGGACGCTCGATGACGGGGAGCCTGAGGCCGCCTGCGGTCGGCACAGCGTAGATGACAAGGATTAACAGGTCGGGCGCAACCAGCCGGAACAGCGTCTGCGCGGCGCTGATGTACTCTCTATGAGTAGCCGGGTTGTGTGGGCTCGCGAATGAGCCGCTAGAGTACTCGGGGGAGGAGGGCGAGAGGTCGTGGCGGAAATCCGCCGAGGCGTCAAGGCGTATGCGATGATGACCGGCCCATTGTTGCATGACGGCCGTACGGCAGCGGGATGCACCGGCGGTGATCCCAGGCGAGTTTGGAGAGGGGTTCGGAAAGGTGACGGTCACGTATGCATCGTTCGAATGCTCGGGGATGCTCGAAGGCGCAGGGCCCTGCCGCGGGTCGGGCGAGCGCGAGGTCTCCAATGGCCACAACACATTAGCGTCGTCGGTGTACGTGTCGAAGTCAAGCTCAATGTAGGGAAAGGCGACGTGCAGGTGTCGGATGCGGGGCTTGTCATCTTGTGCGGGCTCGCATTCGCGTTTGTAGAGATCGACGAATGATTGAAGGCGCTGGGAGGTAGCCACAAGGGAAATGGAGTGGAAGCGTGTTGTGCGCGCAGCTGAGCGAATGCCCTTCGACACGAGCGAAAGTGTGCAGCCCGTAATTCCGCCATCGGTACAGGCAAGCTCGAATATTTGCTGCAGAGTTTCTAGGGGGAGAACATCCATGGCTCGAGTGGACGAAGTGGAGAGGCAGCTCACCCGAGGGTTGCTTTATGGTTTGGAGGTATCAAACCCAATGACCTGCGCGTTCACAGCAAACGCGCAGAACATCGGTTTGTGGCAAATCGGTACTTCGATACCGTCCAGTGCTCACATGCCCGCGACCAGATAGTGGCCAAAAAGTCTTCAACCCGTCTGCGATCTGCGAAGTCGTAATCAGCCAGCTAGACCACAATTATAGCCTGGCCGTCTTCGTAAATATCATGAAACAGAAAGGACCGGTGACTTTCTCAACACCTCGCACTGAGTACTGAGCGTTCGAAGATTGCAAGAAATGTCGCCCGGTAAGACGCGACAATCAGCACGGAAGAACCCTTCGGAACTCAACCTACGCGTTTGTACCGGCGAAGACGATGCAGGCGCGCCGCCGCGTGGTGGTCGAGTGAGAAGAGGGCTCGCGAATCGCGCCGCGCGCGGCGCGATCGAAACTTCGAGCTCGTCACGTGCTCGAAATTTGCCCGGGAAGCGCGTTCATTGGCCGCCGCGCGCAATTGCCACTTTCCCTCGTCTCGTCTTGCCTTGACCACCCTCCGCCGCTTCCTCCTTTAAACAGCTCTGCAAAATGGTCTCCTTCCAGTAAGTGCACTGTGCATAATGTGCGCTGCCGAGCTGCGCTAACCGAGATCTTCGTTGCAGATGCGATGGTGAGCTGCTATGCGATGAAGTGCGCAGGGCAGTCTCTGACTTCGCGCCCCTTTTCCTTCTTCCCCTTTGCGAACACCACATCTCTGCGACTTAACAGCATGCGGCGATACCGTGAAGAAGCCCAAGCTCGACAAGCACCGCATGTCCTGCCAGTCGTCCTTCACCTGCCTCGACTGCAGCACCACCTTCGCCGGGCCCGCGCAATACAAGGGCCACACGACGTGCATCAGCGAGGCCGAGAAGTACCAGGGCGCGCTCTACAAGGGTCCCAAGGTGTGTCCGCGTCCCCTCTCCCCCTCCCCGTCCGCATTCCTCACCTTTCACCGTGTCGCGCGCAGCAGAACGGCGCCGCTCCCGCTCGGGACGCGCAGCCACGCGTGCAGGCAGTTGCTGCTGCAGCTAGCTCCGGTAAGTATGACTCGCAACAACAGGCGGTCTGGGGGCGCCAGAACGCGTATGTGCGGAGCCATGCATCGGGCGCTAACGGCACTCCCATGGGCACCCCTGCGCGGATGTCGCCCGTGACCACTCCGCCGCCAGTACCGACGCCGGCGCCCGTCGCGAAAGTAGCGGAGATGGAGAAGAAGGTGGAGGGGAAGAAGGACAAGAAGCGCAAGTCGATGGGCGCGGAGGTACGTCGCTACGGTCTGCGTTGCGGGGTGCGCGGGCTGATGTGTTTGGGTTTCTAGGAGACGAAGGGTGAAGAGCCGAAGGCGAAAAAGGCGAAGGGTGCGGAAGAGGCCCCGTCGTCGCCCGCGAAGGCCGAGGCCTCAGAAAAGCCCAAGGAGAAGAAGGAGAAGAAGAGCAAAAACAAGGACGCGGCGCTGGTCGAAGAGCCTACAGCGTCGACATCAGAACCGGCGAAGGAGGCGCCTGTGCCGTCCGCTGCACAGGAAAACGGTGCGGCTTCAGGGAGCCCGTCGAAGAAGAGCAAGAAGAACAAGAAGGAGAAGACGCCTGTAGCAGAGGTTGAGGCGGCAGCGTCGGAGGGCGACAGCAAGTCGAAAAAGCGCAAGCTGGAGGAGGACTCTTCTGCCGCGACACAGCAAAGCGCGGAGAAGAAGAGCAAAAAGGAGAAGCGGCGGAAGAGCGAGGTCGCTGCGCCCGACGCCGACGCCGACAAGATGGACGTCGACGCACCACCGGCGGAGGGCAAGAAGGAGAAGAAGGCGAAAAAGGACAAGTCGAAGAAGGACAAGTCGAAGGTGGAGGCGTAGGCTGGTGCGAGCTTGTATGGGTGGATCTGTTGGAGTGTGCTATGATCATGTCTATGGGGACGTTCGCAGTATGTTCTTTTTGTCCGGTGTATCCTTTCGCTGTGCTGTCTTATCGCTATGGGTTGTAACACGTCCAGATTCAGTGCTTCACTATCAATCTTCACATGCCCACTGCAGCACTATTGGAATTGGGGATCCGAGTGATCCCAGGCTTATCATCTATTTGTCCTCTCTGCTGCGATTCACCTCCCGCCCTCATCTGACGACATACGCGCAGCACGACGCGTATTTATCATGTGATTGCGACTGCGTGCAACGCTCGGCAACGCCGCGCAAGCTCGAGGTACGCGTCGCGCGACTGTTGCTATTCTACGGTAAATCCCGACTCTTCGGAGTTGTTCATGGGCGGGCCGGGCGAGTACGTGTCCAAGACATCCTCGCGGCGTTGGACAAATGTCGGCCATATAACCTTTGGCCAGGGCCCCCGATAGCTTGGCATCCTGACCAACTGCAATGGGTGGTATATTTTCTAGCAGCACAACCTTTGACCCGACAAAGGACCTCGCGGACCTCACCGGGAAGGTTGCGATCGTCACGGGTGGCAAGTGAGTGCGACTCCGCGCCCGTCCGAAAGACCTACTTACGAGCGGTTTCGTCCTGCAAACAGTAGCGGCATCGGCTATGCAACTGTGCAGATCCTCGCGCGGCACGGCGCGAAGGTCTACATCGGCGCGCGCAGCGAGGAGCGTGCGAAGGCCGCTATCGAACGATTGCGCGCCGAAGGGCTGCAGCCCGGGAACGGAGAGCTCGAGTGGCTTGCGCTCGACCTGAGCGATCCGCGCAAGACGAAGGAAAGCGCGGAGATATTCCTTTCGAAGGAGACTCGACTAGACATTCTCGGTAGGTCGTTTGCTGCTGACGTTCCGCGCACCTGTGACCTCCATTAACGAGTGTTTCCATAGTCAATAATGCAGGCGTGTCAGTGGTGCTCCGGTTCATCTTCGCGCTGGATACTAACAGAAATATACATATCACAGTATGCGGATTCCGTACAAGGTTGACAGCACCTACGGTGAGTTTCTGTTCGTGCCCACCTTTAACGGTCGTACTGAGCTTCCGAAGGCATCCAGCAGAACATGCTTGTCAAGTACGTCCACCATCGCTTACCTGCTCCGACCAGCGACCCATACCGCCGCGACAGCCACTTCAGCCCCTTTGTTTTCACGAAGGCCTTGCTGCCCCTCCTCAGCGAAACAGCGAAGAAGCCAGATAGCGACGTCCGTATAGTCGTAGTAAGCCCGCACCCGCACAGGTCCCAGTACCCCCACTCATCAATTTCAATCAGGTCTCGTCTCGCGCGATCAGCGATATGAAGGGGAGAGGCATGCGCTTCCGCGACATCAACGAGATCAACGAGAAGTTCGGAGACGGCCTGCTTTCCGACTACCACAGATATGGTGACTATTAGATACGGTACCCCGCCCACGTCCTCCCGGAGCTCACGACGCGTATGCAGCCTACAGCAAATTTGCCAACGTGCTCTACGCGAAACAGTTGCAGAGGAGGCTCGACGTCCAAGGGGTGCCCATCACCGTCCTGTCCCTTCACCCTGGGGCTGTCGACACAGGTGGGATGCTTCTCACTTCTTCTGCGATTCGAGGCTGACAGCACTTCGACTTACAGAGGGTGTCAGGAAGGACCCCGGCGTAACCGCGCCCGTCCTTGGGGCCTTCTTCAGGCTCCTCATCGGAAGCTTCTTCTTGACAGCCTCGGGTGGCGCGTACGCATCGTCCTTCGCTGCCGCGTCCCCGATCGTCAAGGCGGAGAGGGACAAGTACAAGGGAGCGTACTTGGACCCCCCTGGCAAGATCGTCCCTGCTCCTGCTCCGGAGGTCGAGAGCAAGGAGCTTGCGGAGGAGCTGTGGGCTACGACCGAGACTATCTTGAAGTCGTTCGATTTGTAACCATGGTCTGAGACGTCGGGACTTCCTGCAACCTGGTGAAGGTAGAAACTCGTACTATCGGGTGATTGCGACCTAATCCCGCCCTGTCCTATCGCAAACATGGCCCCTCCAATTAATGTTACTTATTTCCCAGCAGCACCGTCTGGGTGTAGTATCAAACAAGACTGATCCTAATCTTCATGTTGTTCATGTGTATTTGTGTGGCGCAGGCGGCTCTGCCCCTCTTGACCGGAACCACTGATAACCCTGCGAACCACCTTCCTGTTACACCATCCTCGGGGCTTCCGGCGTCACTGCGGGCCCGCCATTACCTTCATCAAGGATCTTCGCTCTGGGGGGCTTGAGAGGCCGCGCATAGCAGAGGGCATGCTCTATCTACATCTTGCAAATTAGTAGACAGGACGCCGCCAATACGACCATGGCGGGAGACCTGCCCATGTCCCCGTCCTCTGACACTAAGTCGAAGGTTATCACCACCTTCCTCGACCATCCCACTTTCTCATGTGCGCAATGCGCTGCGGTGATAGTATGTACCTATCTGCTAAGTACAAAGCATACCTAACGTTGTAGTTTCACCAGGCTCTACAAGACGAACTGATAAGCAAGGCGTTCTCAGGACGTGACGGCCGCGGCTAGTTCGTGCATGAGCTATACATGTGCCCATGAACATACCCGTGCTGACATGCTACGTAGCCTAATGCACTCCGCAGTGAACCTGAAGATGGGCAAACGGGAGGACCGCGCGCTGCTGTAAGGATAGACATCGACCTTCTATCTACACGCACGGCTGACGGCACCTCCTTTCGCCTCTATAGGACGGGCGTGCACACCGTTGCGGACGTGTACTGCTTGGGATGCAACGACCGTATGGGATGGTACTACCATAAGGCCTCCGACCACTCCCAGAAATACAAGGAAGGTGAGGGCGTTCTGCTGAACTCGCGGGGTGTACGACTGATTATAATCGTTGCGCTCCAAGGCAAGTACCTTCTTGAGCGGGAACGACTTGTGAAGGAGAACAACTGGAAACTCGATGATGCGCCCTCAGGTTGATTGGCGGTCACTGAACTGTAGAAACGAATGCTGTACACATATGCACCTGTACCTGTATCACGACTTCCCACCTTCAACTACTACTAATACAACGCGATGGGACGAGATGTTCTGCGTCGTGAACGTTATACATTGCGTGATTTACATAGCAGTACAGAACCTCTGACAAACAAGATATGCATACGGTCCCAGGTATCATCTTCCATTGTTTCTAGTCCCGCGCGCGGCCGGGCCTCCGCCGTCGGTATCGTGTGCACCCTTCCTGGTGCTGGTACGTGCGTGCGCGCTCAGAACGCGGTCGTCGAGTCGACCTCGATCGTGGGCACGATCGACGCGATGAACTTGAGGAACACGACGAGGTAAAAGTCGACGCGCATGCCCTCGATGTCCTCGTCGCCCGCCTGCGCGTCCTTGCCGTTCCCGCTCGCGCGCCGGAAGAGCCACTTCTTCTGCTTGCCATCCTTCGGGCTCGACGCGCCGCCGCCTCCGCGTGCGGCGCGCTGCTCCTCGATCACGCCCTGGTTCATGCGCTCGATGACCTTCTTCATCACGCTCGCGTGCTTGCATGGGTGCACGGACGCGGCCTGCAGCGAGCCCGAGTGCGGGAACGCCTCGATCGTGACTGTCTTGAACGCGTGGTCTGCGGATACGTCTTGGAATATTTGCGGAGGCGTGAGCGGGGTGCCGTTCTAGGGTTCAGGGTCTGCCGTTAGCGGGCCGCCGGGGGTGATAGCATGGAGTGCGGGATGGGAGTGGATGTGGGGGTGGAGTCAGGAGCGGAAGTGGAACGCACCTCGTCGTAGCCAATGAGCCAGATACGGGGCGTCTGGTAGTACTTGTCGTACGTGATCATAACATCATACGTGCGCACTTGCAGCAAGTTCCCCTTCGCCGCTTCCACCTCGCTGCGACCGACACGCATGAGCACACTCGCCCCACAACCGAGCACACGACCGACACGCAAGATGACGACTCACTCCGCAGTAATCACGCCGCCCGCCGGCGCCGCAGACGTCTTGGGCGCCGCAGCCGTCGCCTCGTCGTCGTCCGCCTCGAGGTCGTCCTCCTCCATGTCCGGAATCTCGTCCATGTCCGGGATCTCCGCCGCGCTCTTGTCGCCCAGCGACAGCCCGCCCATCGCGCCCGCCGCGCCGTCCGCGTCCGCGTCGTCCACGTCCGGGATGTCGTCGATCGTGCCCGCGTGCGCGACGGAGTCCGTCGTCGTCGGCCGGCCCGTGTGCGTCTCGACCCACTCGTCCGCCTCGTTCCCCGTCGCGGAGAGGTCCCCGAACGAGAGCAGCCGCTCCGCGTCCTCGTCCGCGTCCGTGTACGCGAGCGCGGTCGCACGGCGCAGGCACGGCACGCCCCGCGTGAGCAGGTACTGCTTATCGGCGGGCAGGTAGTCGCGCGCCTTCGCCGGATCGCCCTTCTCCCTGTTACGGCGCGGGCTGAGGGGGCGTAGTTGGACGGGTATGGAAGGGGGACACGCACCATGTCCATACGGGGAACTTGTACGCGAGGAAGTCGCCGGCCGCGACGAACTCCTCTGTGGCGGCAGGAGCCCGGGATCAGCGGGCGTGCGGCGCGATAGTGTGCATGATCAGGAACGGACCTGGTGTGATGCGCCCGTGCTCCTTGAACTTGCTCTCCTTCAGGACCTATAGCAGCACGTAGTTAGCCACGGCACGCCGATGGCGGAGGAGGATGTGGCGTACGGGACTGAGGTACTCTCGAACGGCCCAGTATTGTTGCTAACGCCCGGATCAGGTCAGCAATGCTTCTTGCAGGGACGTCGCGCATGGGCACGGACCTGGATGGTGTGCATTTCGTGAGGAGAGCTGGGAGGCTGGAAGAGAGATGGCCGTTGGGGGGAAAGGGCGGGATATAAGGCTGCAGGTGAGCGGCGGTTACCACTTCAATGGCCCTCCCGCTTTCCACTAATCGATCTATCCACGTGTATCTTCATTAGGCAATTCGATTATTGACTGGTGGCGGTGCCTAGCTATCTCTCTCACACTCCGGCCGGGGCCCTCGCACAAAGAAACACAGACTGAGAATACGGACAGCCGTACGGGAGACGCTGCCAAAACGGTAGATAGTCTCCGTTGCAGAGGAGGGTACGACATGGAAGACTCGCAAAATCTGGCAACGAATATGTTCTCCGCTCCGTGCTTCCAGAGCAGATCGTTACGTCTTGGGCACGTCCGCACAATCGGCTCGCTCGTGCGTAAACAATGCTGCTGGTCACCGGCTCCGTTCCTGTTGCCTCCTACGATAGGCTAACCCCCTTCTCCTGTGAGATCGTTGATCGCTTTCTGTACCTCCAACCTCTCCATGACCGCCCTGTGCAAGCTCGACTTCGTATGTCGACCTGGTTTGGCCTTTCCTTTCGGATCCGCTGTCTCCGTGACAGGCGTGGAATGACCAGCAGGTGTTGATGACGATCCAGGGGCAATACTAGACGTGGCCAACTCTGTGGGCTCTCGAGCGGTAGTCGATGTCAGATGAGACGGCACAATGATTGGCGTCGGCCGAGGTGGTGGCGGCCACTGGGAGAAACATAGTTTAGGTTATATTCAGACACAGCGGCGTTTACTGAGTACTCACGCCACGATTGGGTTGATTGAAGTGAAGCGCTGCCCATGGCGGGTACTCTTTCTCCAAGTGAATAACATGGTCCTCCAAGTACTTGAGACGATCCAGTAGAGACCGCGGAGGAAGCGGCACTGTTGGTACGGATGAGTCCACATATCATGAAGGAGATACATAAGTGCAACTTACCATAGCGAATCGCCAAATGCCTCTCAATGTTCTGCAAGCGCTCATCAAGGGCAGGGTACCTGCCCGCACTCGGCATATCCTCAGCCGCGCTGTTTGCGCCAACCTTGGACGTCGACGGGGTCGATGCGGGGTTTCCGGGGACACCGCTCTTCAACGTGCGTCGGAGTGGGCCGTCTTCGTTTTTCGCGATGTCGTACTTCATCTGCAAGTCCCTGTTCTGCGTCTTCGCGTCGGTCCGCGCGCATGACGGTGCAGGCTCGGAGTCACCATTCTCGTTCAGCCGACGGCGTTTCTCAGCCACAGAGAGCAGGAATTCGTTGCGATTGGACGCATCGTTCCGAGCTCGATTCTGGGCGAGAAACTGAGAGATATCCTTGGTGATCTGCGAAAAAAAACCCCGTTAGCAACTGCTGAACGTGATATCCTATGCCGAACTTACTGACGTCTGTGAGCGGGGTGTAGCACCATTAGCAAGATGCGTGTAGTCGAGCTTGCGCTCCTCCAGCGGACGGTCTTGCGTCGATGTGTCCCCCGTTTCTGGCCTGCTTTGGCCTAAGTTCTACGCGTGAAGCTGGAAATTAACGGGCGTAATGTACGCGAGGATGTATGTCATACCAGTAGGTCTTTCATGAGCTCGCCGAGTGCGGCGGGCACTTTATTGCGTTCAAAATCGGGATTTAAAATCAGCATATCCGCCTCGAACCCTTTCGCAGCTTGAGAGAAGCCGATGGCAGATAAAAAGGATTTAATGACAGCGTCCCAGTCTTTGTGGTATTCTGGTGGAGGAGAGGGTGAAGGCGACGGGGTGGGTGTTTTCCTTTTAGCCGGAGGAGGGGGTTGGGCGGCATGCTTGTGCTGGTGCATAGGCGCAACAGCATGCGGAGCGGGCGGGGCAGAAGCAGGTTGCGCGTACGGGTAAGGATAGCTGCCTCCGGCCCCGTACTGGTAAGAACCAGTGTTCCACGCGTTCGACCACGCGCTTGGGTGATAGTTGTAGTACGAGTACGTTCCGGTTGACGCTTGAGGCACGCCTTGGGCTGGCGGGTGCTGTGGCTGATAATTGGTGTGCGGGGGATAGTGAACACCGGCAGAAGGTTGGGAGCCAGTTTGCCGAGACGGAGCGCCAGGATGCGGTGGACTGGCAGGATAACCAGCGGTATATGTGTTCGCTCCGGGATGCGTGTAGTAGGGACGCGAAGGAGTTTGGGACTGCACCGAGAACTGGCTTGTGTAAGGTCCTGTAGAAACGGATGGTCCGGGGACGGGTGCTGGTGGAGAGCTGATGGATGCAGCTGTCTGCGCGTTTGTGTCCGTCTTCGCAGGGTTCACCAAGGCCTGCATGGGCGGCGTGCTGCCCGAGGGCCCAGCGGCCGAGGGCGGGGGACCGAGCGTCATGGAGGGTAGAGGCAACTTGCAAGAAATTCTGAGAAAGGAAAAAGCCGCCACCGTCGGGAACGCGAAGCAAGCGCCCATCCCCGATCACTCCAGCACGAGCGGCCCGGAGACGCGCTCTCTCAGCCTCTGCTCCCGACCACCGACGCGACGCTCCCTCAGCGCAGCACCTGTTCGCCCAGGTCATCCTGCACAACGGCCCACACGAACCCTTCATGGCCACCGAAGCAAACCGAATCCCAACGCCCGCGTTCAGGTTGCGGGAAGACGAGCTGCCTCCGGAACTCATACTGTCTATAGAGCGAATCCTTGACCTGCACGCCCAAGCAGACACAGACCCCCTGGAACGGCTCACGAACGACTTCGACTCAATAAATGTGCTGAACGACTACTTCCCCAATGGTGCGTGCGTCCCTCCGTCCACCACTAAGTCCGCAGTCACTCACCGCGTCCCACAGAGGCCGCACTCGGACAGCTCGAAGCCGTCCAAGCCCGTCTCGCTGAGAACGAACGCGCGTTGCAGGACGAGATTGACTCGCTTCGCGAAGAACTGCGGCGGGACCAGGACCCGAGCCGGATGCAGCTCATCCAGGAGATGATCTCGGTGAGTTGGCACGCAGACTCCCGGCGCCCCTACAACATCCAATTCAAGCAGCCATTCACCTGGCGTGCACGCTAGGACCTGCTGGGCCAGATGTCGCGCATCCGCGAGAAGGCGACCGAGTCGGAGGCGGTTGTGCGGAATATCACGAAGGAGATCCAGGTTCTGGACTTGGCGAAGAAGAACCTCATATTGAGCATGACCACTCTGAAGAGGTTGCAGATGCTAGGTATGTGGCCACTTATGTGCGTTGTTGAAGAGTGACTGATGTATGCACGTAGTAAATGTTCTGGGCCAACTGGAAGACCAAATCAAAGAGCGCAAGTATCATGACATTGTGCAATCCCTTGCAGTATGTTTCAGTATCGCAGTACTTCCCGTGGCGCATACACTGACTGTAATGATCAGGCAGTGAAGCAGATCAGCGCGTCCTTTAAGCCTTACACCTCTGTGCAGCGGATAGCCCAGCTGTGGCGGCGAATCCAGGAAATTCAGTCTGAGCTGCGTACCATGATAGACGCAGACTGGGACAAGTTGTCAGTTTCCCGTTCTCCGCTATGCGTGCGGTTGCTTACCAGAGCTCCCGCAGCTACGTACAAGACCCTTCCAAACCTATGAAACCCTCAGCCATCGCCGACGCATGTCTAGTCGTAGACGTCTTGGGCCCGGAGATCCGCACCCAATTCGTAGACCGCTATGTCGCCTTAGAACTGAAGGAGTACCGACGCATATTCCGAGCGACTGACGAGGCAGGTCAACTCGACAACCTCTCTCGTCGATTCGCATGGTTCCGCCGCTTGCTGCATACACACGAGACGGAGCAAGGGAGAGTGTTTCCTGCCGAATGGAAAGTGGGGTGGTCCCTGACAGCCAAGTTCATTGAGATTACGAGGTGCATGTTTTACGAGATCGGTCCCGGGACTGCTATCCTCATCGGAACTCTTTAGGGACGACATGACTGCCTTGCTGTCGAAGGCGGGGTCGAAACTCACCGTCAAGCAGCTCCTAGATACCCTTCAGGAGACGATGGACTTCGAGTCATCAATTACGAGGAAATTCGGCACATCGGTGAGCTCCTGTGGGTGTTCACACGCATGCCGTGTCCATTCATACTTTATTTTGTAGGTGCGAGAATTATTGAAGGCAACAACCCCTCCAAACGCAACCCGCCCGTTGAAGCCAATCACCTCCGCGTTCGAGCCTCATATGGGCGTGTTCATCGATGCTCAGGATAGGTACGCCGATTCATCACACAGACACGGTCGATACTTACGATATACGCAGGGTCCTGTCGGACATGCTTGCTCAGTATCGGGGGCCGAAATCTCGCACTTCATTGGAAGCTACGTCTGGTGCTCCAGAGGACGACAACGCACCTCCCGTCCTCGTACTTCCGTCATCTACCGAGCTGTTCTATTTCTATGCACAGACGCTGGACCAGTGCGCGCAACTGTTCACAGGTCAGCCGCTATACGATCTGTGCAGCTTGTTCAAGAAGTGGCTGCGGATATATGCAGGTACGTTCTGCGTCGCCACAGGCGCACATGCTCCAAATGCTAAGGTAACTTGCAGAGGAGGTGCTGGTTGCGAGCATGAAAAGGTGAAATTTCTTCTGGTCGGATCTCCGGGCTACGCTCAATGTTTTCGCAGACCATCAACTTTCGGGAGAAAGTCCATGGACACGCGCTATGATGTTTCTGAACTCAAGAGCGCGTGTACGCTCATTAACACCGCAGACTACTGCCAGACAACGGCGCTCGAGCTAGAGGAAAACATTCGCGCGAAGTGCGACGAGGCGTACAAGGAGCAGATCACACTACAGGACGAGCGCGATCTCTTCGTCAGGTAGGCATATATACCACTCCTCTGACATCGTGTTATACTGAGCCGCATCGTGCTAGCGCAATCTCTGCCGCTATCATGATCATGCTTCGCGAGCTCGACTCTGCGTGCGACTCTGCGCTCACGACGCTCTCGCGCACGCCCTGGGCGACAGTGAAGCACGTCAGCGGCCAGTCTGCATACGTCGAGCCGCTCGTCAAGGCGATCGAAGAGGTCGCCGAGACGGTCAAACCGCTAGTCGAGCAGAAGAAGTACTTGCGGAACTTCTTCGACAAGGCCGCGAAGTAGGTCACCAGTCGAGCGCATGCAGAGACCCCTTCGATGGCTGAATGTGTTGTTGCAGTGCGGTCCTGGCGAAGTTCACGAACGCGCTGGTTAAGAGTCGTCCATTGATGGAGACGGGTGCTGAACAGGTGAGGATGTTGCATGTACTATATACAGGTTTGTTCTGACCAGTACTCGCAGCTCCTGATCGATCTACAGGCTATCAAGGCTTGTCTACTGAAAGTCCCAGGAGAGGCATTGCTTACTACCAAGTAAACACTGGTATCTCGTCCTCATCCAGCTGTCACTGACAGTATATTCCCAGTTACACCAAGAGCATGACCAAACACACCACTCGACTAGAGGCCCTCCTGAAAGTCATCGTAACACCAGTCGTACGTGCTTCCCCTTTTACCCTCGACGCGCGATATCCCGCCGCTCACCAGCGCCTACAGGATCCAACGGAAGGGTTCATTTTGAACTACACGCTAGTGATCGGCGACGCCTCCTTCTCCAACTTCCAGAAAATCCTCGACCTCAAGGGCACGCCCAAGGCGGAGCAAAACGATCTGCTCGACTCCTTCCTCACCGTCACGAGCACGAAGACCGAGCTCGACAGCACCTCCTTCCTCTCCTCCCTCGACATGGACCCCGGCCAGGTCGCGACGCTCACGAGCCCCGGGAGCAGCAGGGTGTCCCTTTTGCCCGGGGGCGTAGGCGGCGAGAGCATCATGTCCGCGCTCACGCCGCCGCCGCTGGGGGCTACGTCGTCGAGTGGGGCAGACACGCCGCCTAAGCAGGATCAGGGTCGGCGGGAGGTGTTCTCGGACTTCAAGCGTTTCGTGAGCTTTGGGCTAAGGCGGGAGACGATGCCCATGTGATGCGAATCCAGAACGTACTTTACCACATCACTATTTTCTGCAGGGAATATACCATACTTATCACGGATACGCGGGTTTCTTCGATCAAGGACATTGAGTGAAGCCTCTGTACCTGATTCGTGGACCAGCGGCAGGCGGAAGACTCGGTACAACAAGATATCCAAACATACAACACGACATTTCTTACTCTTCCATCGCATCGCCGTCGCCCTTGCCGTTCGCGGCGGGCGCAGGCTCCCCCTCCTTCCAGTCCTCGCTCCACTTCGGGTACACGCGCTTGTACAACGCCATGCACACGGTGTCCATCTGGCTGATTGGCCCGTCGAAGTGCGCCTTGAAGTACCCGTGCGTGCCGAGCGGCTCCTTGATGTGCCCCGTCCGGCCATACTTCGTGTGCAGCTGGATCGGCTTGAAGTACTCCACGTCGTCTGCAATACCAGTTCATTAACGGGCGACGCGTAACGGCAAACGCGGAAACATACCGCGATTGAAGAACATGTAGCGAATCGTCGCCGTCTTTTTGTGGATCTTGTACGGATGGCCAGTGAGAACGAGGCGCTTCGCGACGATGCGCGTCGTGTCCGGGCTCAAGAAGCTGCCCATCGCGACTAGCTCTGGTGCTGTGAGTCCGTCAGCATCATAATACAGTGTGACAGAAGGGGTTAAAGCATACCTTGTGGGTCATCGGTCTCGCGCAGGAGCGTGCACGGCTGCTTGCCATATACCACGGGCCCGTAGATTGTGGCGACATCGGTGACTCCATGACGCAAGTACCGCTCGAACTTGTGCGCATTGTTCGCGCCCTTGCCCCCACCGCGCAGGTGTTGGCTGTAGATGGGGTTGACGCGCAGCCTCCGTGGGCCGAGACAGAGGATGAGAGGATCCTACGGCGATATGGTCAGCAGCGACGACATAAATGGCCTTAGAGCGGGCGTACCTTCGAGCGCACGGTCCCGTCGTACTCAGTATTCCGCTGGACAGCGAAGTTGAGAACGGTCTTTTTGTGCTCGTGCTGCAGAAGGCTGAACGCCACGAAAGGCCGCCCGGGAACTATCCGCGCGGCCTCCTTCGGCACATCGTTGATGAAGATGGTGACACGTGTTCCCGCCTGTGTTCATCATATTGCATGAGCGACCGCATCTCCTTGGAATACAGCGGGCACATACCTCAACGCCGGCATCCTCCTCCGCCCGCCGCTTCACCGCACGCTCCGTGCGCTTGAAGTCTTCAAACTGGAAAATGCGTGCATAGTCCCTGGGCAGGTTCTCATATGGATCCCACGGACTCGTCCGGAATGAACGCAGACCGCGGAACCGCTGGAACCGCGTCCGTGCGGCAACGTCTATCGGGGTATCGATCTCGTCGGGGAAAGCAGCATCGTCTTCCTCCTCTCGTTTCCGATTCCGCCACGACTGCAGTCTGGAAAGATGAATGAAGTTAGTAGATGACGCTACGACGGCTCCCTTGTCGACTCACTGTCGTTCTTCCTCGTCGGCATCCAAGTCTTGGAACGCGACGCGCCGTCCATCGGTTCCCATCTCAGTGTCAACTTCATTCGGGAGCTCGACCATCTCTTCTTCCTCGGCGTCGTCCATCTCGACCTCTCCGGTGTCGCCTTCGCCGTCGTCGCCCTCGCCATCTTCACCATCCTCGTCGCTCTCGTCCATGATCCACGCCGCCTGGTACTCGCTCATTCCCTTGGGGATCTTGCGCACTCGCTTGGGCGTGGTACCGATCTTCGCATCGGGGATGCTTTCGTCCTGTCCGTTGGCCCCGTTCTGCATCTCTTCCTCCGTCGGCCATGTCTGCTCGTTTGCCATGTCGTCGGGGTCGTTGCTCGATACCAGTGAATCGGCGTCTTCGGGATCGGGCACAGCGAGTTGCTGCGGCTCGATGTCCATAGTCGCCGCGGCGCCGGACTTGGTGATTCGAGGCAGAGGTGCAGACAGGATCTATGCACGCAGGAAATCAATATGGAGAACGCGAGACAACCTGTACTCGGATCCGTACCTTGACAATCTGGAAGTCCCCATGGTTCGGGATGTGCACAAGTCGATTTGCAGACAGATGTGCCCCGCGCACAACACCGGTCACGCTGAATACACCGTCCTCAGTCCACTCGACCTTCTCGCCGAGGATGTACGAGCGGCCCTCCCTCCATTTGACGTCCGACGGCTTCCCCTCGCAGAGCGCGCGCACGGCGTTGAGCGCATCTGCAGCATGGTGCATGTCGTATATTTTCATCTGGCTGGGCACGAAATATTGGATGAAGGATAGGAGCGACTTCATGACGCCGGACTTTTCTTTCGCTTCCATAGGCTCGTCGGAGGCGACGACGGTGATCACCTCCGGGAGGCCCTGGGCCTGCAGCGTGCGGAGGAGCGTGTCGCCCCACTGGTTGACTTCGACGTTAGGTGAAAGGACGAAAATCACGTAGTCTGCGACCTTGCACGCATCCAGGGTGGCATATAGTTGCCTGTATGGAAGGGGGATGAACTGCGCGGAGGTCTTGAAACGGTCCGCTCTGCACTCCTTGCATTAGGCTGAGCCAGAGATGTCTCGCGCGCAGACGTGGACGAACCTGAGTTTCTGCAAACCGGTCGCGGAATCCTCCTCGAGCGCCGTATCGATCGCCTGCGCGAGCCGCGCGCTCACATCCCGTGTGCTGACGTCTTCGGTGAGGGGGACGATGGCAACTATCCGAGGTGCGCCGTCTGTCCCGCTGAAAATGCGGGTGGCCGACACGAGGCTCTGGCGTTTCTTAAGCTGGACTTGCTTCGCGCTATTACGGCGGTTGGTGCGGAGCTGCGCGGCAGCAGCATTGGCCGCGCGCGCCTTGGGAGATTGGCGTTGCGTACGTCCTATCTCATCAGTCAGTTTAGGAGGGGGATGATACATAGAGATCCCGCACCTTTCGCAATCTCTTTCAACGAGCTTTTGGTAGCATGTTTCGACTTGAAGGACTTGTTTTTCTAGCGATGGATTCCATCAGGTGAGCAGTATTCTAGGCCAGGGACTAGCAGACATACCTGCTTCAGCGTAGGTCGATGGTGGTGAGCAGACTCTGTCATGTTGCCTGATAGCAAATTGCGCAGGACTCCAAAGTCCTTTAGTCGATCGCGATGGCCTTATGTCTCTTCGGTCTGACTAGCTGACCGGTCTGAATTTCGTGGTGTGTGTTGTGTAGCAAGGTAGCCTTGTTCAGAGTCCAGAAAGCAGGAGAAATATAGCTTGGAAGTGTAGAGAAAGTGCGAGTGTGCTGCCTCAAGCTGCTCGATCGGCGCATACGCTTCATGAAATTTACGGGGGAATCGCATCTTATCTAGGCACGCGGTATGACCATCTACATCTTATCTTATCTGACCCTCGCCGCCTGAGGCGCCCACCTCCACTTGAGTGACTCTCGATCGTCCTGGTCTTCGAAGTTGCCGTGTCGTCTCAATAACTCAAGTTTGGGGGCTTTGAAAGCTGTACAGGCAAGGTATCTGATGACAAAATCTCCTTCAATTGAGTACACAGTGAAAATATTATTTTCGTAGCTGGAGTTTCCAAAGATCAACGTCCTAGGAGTACTTACTGTACCTCCAGGACCAAAGCGGCGGGGGGTTTGGGGTGTGACTGGCCGGACACGACCGTCCAAAGCGGCGCGACCGGCGGTGCCTGTGACCGCCCGGTAGGCAAAGCGGCGCGGGGCCCCGCAGGGCCGCCAAAAACACCTTTTTGGAGTGTGACCGGCGTCGGCTCGCCGCCGCTGACTCGGAAGCGGCGGGGGCAACTGTGACGCGGGACACACCCCCTAAAGCGGCGCGGCGGAGGTCGCTGTGACCTGTGACCCGCCGCTTTGGTCCTGGAGGTAAGGTAGGCCTCACACAGACTCGACTACGTCAGGTGACCAGAAATGTCACGCTTAGCAGGCGCTGCAGCAAACTCTTCATATTTTGAGGGAGTCAGCCCCGTTAACGAGATTCTGCGACCTGGAGATTGTTGAGAAATGTGTTCGAAAAAATCTCCAGGAAGCCGAATCGCAAAAGGAGCGGCCGTTGTTCGAAAATATGCCGCGCAGTACTGGACGCCCCCCTGCAGATTTGGGCGCTAAATACCGCCCGGAGCGGGGTGACAAGGATTTGGGCGGTACACGTGATCGGTAACGCGATGTCACAGGTAGTCGATTCTGTCTGAGGCCTACCTTACAGTACTGCAGGTCCAGGAAACTGAGTTGGAAATCGGCTGACAATGAACACTGGGTGGTACTGGTAAGCTACTTCGTGAAGATGTGTTTTCTGCCATGGCTGCGCGGAAATCGACGGTCCTTGGCCAGTGCGCCCGCGCCCGACACCACGCATTGAGCATATGTTCGAATGATCCTTGGTGACCGATGCCTGCAATCCAAGTATTCTTTGCACACTAGAGTCCGTCCCACGGCAAATCGCGCTCCCTTGTATTTTCTCCTCGCAGTTAGACTGGTCCTTGTCGCCTATAGTCGTCATTCCCCTACTCTGTTTCATGTACATCGCACCACTCACCTTGTACTTAGAAATTGCCGCGCAGGTAGTTCTCAATCCTCGACACGAGAATTGGTACGGGCGTACGGAAGCAGGGGCTATAGGGTACCACCGGGCGGTGTTTTGTCTCAACCCAGATTAGCAGCGGAACTTCCGAGAAATATCTTCCATGATAGAGAACCCACGACGACTGCATGAGATTTGACGTACCGCACTTCTGAACGGTTGTCGCAGGTCGATTGAGGCCCGTTGAGATACCCACCTGACTAGTGACTTCCCTCCGGAGTGCGCAAAATCCTGGATCCAGACAAGAGCACGGACACTGTTGCCTTGGACGAGAGCTTAGCTGAGCCGCCCAAGAGCTAAGCGATGACATCGCTAACTCGCGCTTTCGGTGGCTCCCTTGGTCCGGGTGTTCTGGCTTGATTGATGCGGCCCAAGATAACAGCGTGTGATAACAAGGTCTCCGCCTCCGTCTCTGGATGCGCAGGTCGCCAAACAACGCGAGAGTGGATTTTGAGAGCAAAGCAAAACAAGGTGTACAGATATCAGCAAGAAAGCAAAAGGACGATGGCAACCCGTCGATGGTGCGGCATACAAATCAGAGGGGTCGAGGTATAGCAGGTTTCCGAGTAAGTATGTAGCGAGCGGTCCGGAAAGCATGCGCAATGCGCTGCACAAGGGCATCGCCGGCACCTTCCTTGCGATAGATTAGTCGGGAGCGCAGCTTCTGAGACCCGAGCGGCTTCACTGGCACCAGCTCGTCGAACTGTCGGATGACGTCCTGTATCGTCGGTCGCTTGGTTGGGTCGTCCTGGACCATATCCTGGACGAGAGGCTCGAGGAACTCGATACCATGATAAAACTGTGCGCGGCCACGTCAGACAGAGCGAAGAGACATAAGAGGGTGACATGCCTTCATGATTTTTATGCGGATGAGGTTGCCGAGGTAGTATATGTCCGTCGGGAAGGGGTCTAGGAGCTCGCCATTCCAGTTCTGAAACTCGGGGACGGACTTGTCTCCCCCCAGAATTGGGTGTTCCCGAGGCGGACCATCCTTGGGGTCATACCGACGTGACAGTCCAAAGTCGATGAAGTAGTACTTCACTGGATGCAGCGTCCGTGTCGAATGCTTTGCAGTGCCCTTCCAGTCGCGGGACTTATCTGTGACGCGGGGATGAAACATGTTTGGGTATAATGGTCGTGGATCGTATAATATGTTCGGTGCTTGGCAATCCCTGGCAAGTGTGAAAGAGAGCGAAGTAACCTTCGATGCTTGGGCTTATCTGTGAGCAAAATGATGTTCATGCATGAATTGTGTGCCCTAAAAAGCGAGACCAGGTAAGACATCGTAAAGTTTATAGCATGATATCGTACTTACCTCGAAGATTTGGGCGAGGAATGCAACCACCTCCCCCACTGTAGTCCACGCGGGGTTGTTACATGCACGAAACATTGGCATAACTAGAAGAACAGCGTCCTCGTTGTCTGGCACATCCAGAACCTCGAGCAACGGCACAGTATGATTTCGAGGGTCCGACAGAAGCGGTTCTGAGAGAAGATATTGATGCAAAGCAACCTCCTCGGGGTACAAACTCTTCTTGACTTGCTTCAGCATGACCAAGCTGTCGTCCGCGACGCAAACAGCATCCAACAGGAAAGGTTGCTAAGCGTCTAGTTGTAAGAGTTTTGACGTAGCCGCGTACAAATGCACGTACCTGTGGGCGATACCAGTCCTCGTACTCCATCAAGAATGGTTCTTTCTTGGCGAGCCACGATGGCTTCCAATCTGGCCGATACCGATGCCGGAGCAGGTAGCCTCGTTCCGCAAGCCACTCTTGATGATCGCGCCACCAGCATTCGGCTTCCGAAAGCTTCTCAGGGCCCAAGGGTAGAAGGCGCGTGGGCGGGACAGTTACTTCGGACATATGGGGTGGCAAGGGGCTTGCATAAGGCGCAGATGCGGCATTTGATAAAAGAGGGGGGCAGTATGAGGCGGCAGTCACGACAGACCCAGAAGGTCGCGATCGGCTCTTTGCAACGCGTGCATCACGAACGAGCGCTAGTATCTACACGAACAAATATGAACACATAACGGCCGGAGGGCGATTTGGCCCAATCTCGAGACAAGGTTGTCAACTCGTCTTCACACGCACCCCGAATCCATCATGTGTCGCGCATTCCGGCATGGCCTTCTTCGCTCTTGTTGCAGTTGTGCATGCGACCAAAAAGAGAACAAATGTCGCGATCAGAGGGAGAGTCTGTCAGCAGAAGACCATAAATATCGAGGTCAGCGGCAGCACATTCAACCATATGCACCCCGTCCGTCTCTTCTATGATGTCTCGCGCCACCCTCTTCCATCTCTCTTCTACCACTTCCCGCTCCACTCTCTTTGACAGAGATACTGACATGTCGACAAGCGCCTTGACGAACGACATTGTCGAGGAACTCGTGAGCAATGCGGTGGGGGACGTGCCGGTTGCGAAAGATATCTGGATCATTAGCAACAAATGCTTCAGCACTAGGAAGCTGCGAGGTACAATCAAAGACGGTCGGGTGAATCTCTATGAAGGGGGCAAATTGCTGTGTAAACCGGACGTCAAAACTGCTCTGGAAGGCCGCGAGATGTACCAGGGCCTCTGTGACACCTACTTCGAGTTCGTCCATTGTCTTGCCATCCTAGAGCTATTGTCGTCGACTGACCATTTTGACACAGACTAGAAGCCGTGGCGAAAGACCTCGAACAGCAGATCAAAAGTGTCAAGTATTATCAGCTTAACAAGAAATACACCATTCACGTGCGGGCGGCGCGGTGGAACGCGGACTCCTACGAGACGAGTATATGGTTTCCGTCCGGGTATGTGGTTCCGATTTGCCACGCGCCAGGTTCCGAATCTCATGTTTGTACAATTGTCATAGGAGAACTCTACCTCGACGAGGCTTGGTCCTCCCACCCATCACGGGGTGCTTCCTACTGCTATTGGAACCCCTCAAGTCACAATGATTGGTGATGCTGCTCACGAGACAGGCAACTTGGAGTCGGCCTCCACCTTGACGTTGGTTGCTGGCGATAGCAGGGACGCGGCTCATGATGGTGGGTTTGGGCCCTCTACCATTGGCCAACAGTTCTGACGCCGCGCCGGAAGGAGAGGATAGCGCTGGCACGCACTCGCACCCTGAATTTACCATCGAATTTTCCGATATACACTCCGTCTTTGGCAATCATTGGGCAGAACACGAAGTCGTAAGTTGTTCGCGTTACTGCTTACAAACTTGAAGCGCTCTCTGACTTCACTACGAAGCAGGACAGTGAATCACCGTCAACTTGTGGCACAGTATCCCAGCCCGGTGCTAGTATCCATTAGCTGCGATCTGCAAGGATGGCATAATCTTAACTCCCGTCGCTAAATCTAGTTAGAAATTACTATTCTTTCTCCATTCCAACGTCGATCTGTGCTTATTGCCTATGTATACCCTAGCAGCTAGTAGTCCACACCTACTGGGAGATAATTTTGATTGCGTGACGCTCGACAAGATGATCCGCTGAACGTTTCAGCTCATTAACACACCGGACCCATGCGATACTGATCCGGTACTGCGATGGCGGACAAATCGTCGACGCTGAGCACCTTCCTAAAGTAGAGTCGCACAGCCTTCGCCCAATGTGGCCTGATGTGGCGGAACCGTACAAGTTGCCTGCGCCGCAGACTGCAGTGTCTCCTCTCAATTCCACCACCTACGATGACCAGCTATCTTTGCGAATTGCCAACGACGGGAGCTGTCTCTTACGCGGACGTTTGTGTCGATTCTACTGCGACTCACACCGCAGATATAGCAGACACAACTGAAGCGCGCGCAAACTTGCGCGCTACCCTCAAGGAGAGCAAACGTACTGATCAAGGCGAGAAGGACTATCTTAAACTCGTTAAAGTAAGTACCTATATTTGATATGATACATAGGGGCAGACTTGTGATGCTGCGTGCGATCTTTGACGTGTCGAGGCGATTGCCATTTCCCAAGAACGGCGTGTGATCTCACCCAGAGCGCCCTCGTTAACGTCCATTGTTGGTCAGGTTCTCGATGATTACATTCCCAAACTATATGGTCTATTAGGATGCATCAGCAGCGCTGAGATGTCGCTGAAGTCCGAGCCAAGTGCGTGCTTCTCGTCACCGCATACTCGCTGAGCGACCGACGTCCCACAGTCTTCAGCTGGCGAACCACGCTCTCCTCTAACGTATTCCACAATTCGCCCAGGATCAGCATCCCCACATTCTCCACGGAGCAGATATTCTCCTCGCTCACGTACGCGTTCTCGATCTCGAACCTCGCGCGGGCAGTCGTGCATGCTCTGGGGCGATACGAGACGGAACGCGCCATATCTGATACGGACCGAAAGGCCAAAGACGAGAAGCTTGCATTCGCAGTCACATTGCTCTGCAAAGCTGCGGGGATTTACGAGTATATCGGCAAGGAGAGCCTGGCCGAATGGGAGAAGGAGCGCGCGCGAGTCGTGTCGCTGGGCATGACCTGCCCAAGACCTCCGGATCTCAGCAGAGAAGTCGTCATTGGGCTGAGCAAGTGGGTACTATCATGCTCCTTTCCGTGGCCTTGCTCACGGACGGTCACCTAGAATGGCGCTTGCCGACGCACAGAATCTTGCCATCCGCAAGCTGCTCTCCAAGGCTGCCTTCGAGAGCACGCTGACCCCTGGACCCCCACTCCCGAAGTCGCACCCCTCCCCAGCACTCGTCGCGAAACTCCATCTAGAGTGCGTATCCCTGTATTCGTCAGCGCGGTCTCTGGTCAAGACCCCGGGCGCGTCCAAGGGCGCATCCAAGTCCAAGATGAAGCTCTCCTTCGGGAAGGACAAAAGCAACAGCGGTGGACAGGAGGAGACGGGTGAAGAAGTCTCGCCAGAGTTGCGCCGCTACCTCGCGGACGAGGTCGCGCTGCACAGCGCCCTGGCGCACAAGTGGCTCGGGGTCGATGCCGGCGAGCATGGAGGCACGAGCAAGGGCGGTGTCGCCGTTGGCTTTCTGGCGTGGGCCAAGAAGGAGCTCGAGGAGCTCCGCAGCGGGCACACCACTGGCGGGATGATGGACAGCGATCGCGAGAAGGAGGTACGCGAGCGCCGGAAGGCGAGGGTGCAGGAGGAGCTCGAGAGCACGAGTACATTCCTGGTAGGTTACAAGAGGATGAACGACACGGTAAGCACATTAGTCTTCCCTGTATCTTCTCGAAGAACTACGCCCACTGACTGGCATGCCGGGTACCAGCTTTTGTTCCAGCCTATCCCGCCGCAGTCCGAGCTGCAGGCTATGATCCCTGCGGGACTGATGGCAGTTTCGGTGAAGCCCTACGCTAAACCAACGCCTGCTTTCGGACCGGGTTCCGTGGAGTACGTGCGGCGACAGACCGAGGAACTCGAGCTGCTGGGCTCTGAGCACGCCACCGACGCCTCCCCGTCTCCAGGGGCTGCACAGGAAGGACCTACGAAATCATACGCCGGCGCAGAGGCGTACTACTGAGCGTAACTTACCACATGAAGCAGAAGACCCCATACGTAGTCTTCAGGGGAGGCGTCGTATGTAGCATAGGTACGCCTTCCCACCGCCTCCCGCCACCATCATTACCCGCCCCTGCCACTCCACGTTGGCACAATACTGATGGCATTTCGTTTTGTACCTGGACGTTCCAGGTCACCAAGGAGAAGCCACTCAATCTGTGTATCACCATGATATCACCATCTGTGCTATAAGCTTCTGACTCCGTTAAGGCGCTGGGAATCCGCAAGGGGGGCATCGCCGTAAGGCCGTGCGTGAACGTGTGTACATCCCGACATACCGACACCCTGTCTCATTCAGGGAGGACTGCCAGGGCAAGCTAAAATCACTGCGATCGCACTCATCTGGGCACTCAAATCGAGAATCATGTACTCACGACTCGGACCCGGAATCAAGGGTTTGGAGCTCCCGCCCACAGCTGGATCCACATCGCTGGTCAGCGGCAACTCACAAGATCTCGTCCGGTTCAATCCTTGAACCTTTCGAGCCATTATTAGCGGCATCCGCACGTGCACTCGGCCGCCGGACTTCGAGACTATGCAGTGATGTATTATAAGCCGGAGATACATGATAGTACAACGTCTCTGGGCGCACGAAGTCAATAGGTGGAACCACTGTAAGATACCCGATGAGACCGAGCATGATGCTCCGCGACCCCACACACATCCACAATTCAGACCTCAGAACACATGCTCCGGCCCCCGCGTCGCTAACCGCAGTAGCACGAGTGCTAAGCGATGATGGCAGGGGTGCGGACAGCCTACAACGGAGCCCGGAGCACGACCAAGACAACAACAAACGAGCAGGCGATGCACGGACAAGTCAGAGGCAAGGAGCAGCGGTAGTGCACAGATATTCCAAGAGGAACGAGCGTGGCCGGGCGCAGGATTCCAACCAAGAGCGACGGAAGATAGATGAACACGGTGGTTGGCCACAGAGGCGCAAGGATCGTAGTGAACAACAGGCGAGCGATGCAAAGTGGGGTAATATGTACAATGGACAGCAGAACAAATGCAGAGTGTCCGTGTGATGAAAAGTGCAAGTTGCAAACTGTACTAGCAGGAGACACCGCGGCGGGCGCACACTGTGCCCGCCGCCGTGCTCGCGAAAGGATAACGCGAGCCGATTAGGACGTCACGATAAGTTAGGGGGAGCAACTATATGCAGTGAAGCAAAAGGCCGCTCCAGCGGGTCGCAACGAGTGGGTGTGTGGTGTACAATACCATGTTGAAGGGGGATAGGAGAGCTTCATCGATGGCGCCCTGGGAGCTGGAAGCCAAACACCGTCGGCCCCGAGCCAGAGCCACTCCCAGTCGTCTGCTGTTGTGCGCCGCCCGAGCCCCTCCCACCCGCAGGCTGAGGAGAAGCCGGCGCAGAAGCAGATGCAGGCGCAGGTGTCGGCGACGTGGAGCCTCTAGCAACCCCCGCACTAGCCGCACGCCCCATCGTGCTCCCGATGCTCGCAAACTGGGGCGCGATTGGGCTGCCAAACGGCGTGCCCGGGTTCGAGCTAGGGGTGCGCCCGAGGATGCGCTGCACGATGAATGGCGGGACGGTCTGAGAACCACCCACCGACCCACCCCGGTGGTGCGCGTGCAGCGCGCGCGAGGGCGATGTCGGGCTGGCGGGGAGGCCGGGCAGGGGCGGATGTGGTGGGCGGTGCGAGCCGCTGAGGCGTTGGGCGGACGCACGGCGCGACTCGGGGCCCCCGGCGAGCGAGGATTGTGTCGAGTGCCGGAAGTGGATGTCGGAGACTGTGAAGGGGATGGAGTCGGTGGGCGAGGGAAGCTGCCCCCCAGCGGCATCGTATGGGAAGGCCTGGTCAGGGCCTTCGAGCTCGTCGCTGCTGGACGAGGAGAGCGTCTGGTCGTCGGTCGCGATCGTGGGGAGGGGTGGTGCTGCTTGAGCAGGCAGGGCCACGGGCTGGAGCAGGACACTGGGGGAGAGGGATGGGCGGGACGCGGTCGGGCCGCCCGAGACGGTCATAGACAGGCCGAGCGAGATGCGGCGATCGGGCGGGAGGGAGGCCCAGTTGACGGTTTGGGAGTGCGTGCTGTGCTCGCTGCCCGTATTCCGCTTCGAGGACGAGCTCGTGGACTTCCCCGTCGAGTCCGTGCCAGACTGGCGCTGCGTGCGCGACAGCGACGTCGACGTCGACGAGTTATTGAAGTCCAGGAACGAGAAGACGGGCTCTGGCCGCGTCGGGCTGGGAACCTCAGCGGACACCGCCCGCGAGCTCCGCTGCTCAGAGAGAGCTTGCTGGAGCGACTGCGGCAATGAGACGGCGGTGCCTGTGCTGATCGCCCGCTCTGTCCGCCTGTCCGGCCGCTCTGGCAGCTCCGTCGCGAACTCGACGCGCAGGGGCGAGATGTGCGTGTCCGGGAGGTACGACGGCGCCCGGAGGCGTACATCGCCGTCCGCATCATCTTCTCCTGGGGAAGTAGGCCCCATGTTCGTCAGGAGGATGCCCCGCGTCGAGTCGCGCCCCTGCATCTCGCGCGGGCCGCGTGGTTTCGGGCTGCGTGGCGACACTGGGGACGGAAGCGTCCCGCCAAACGTACGAGGCGGCGAGGGCGTCGACGGGACCATCGATGCCGGCAGGTAGCCTCGCGGGACCTGGGCTATGGTCAGGTCCGGCAGATCGATCGAGTAGCTCCCGTCCGAGTTCTTCGTCGACGCGTTGCTCTTGCGGAGCGCGCGCGCCTTCCCCTTCTCCGCCGCCGAGAAGCGCTGTGCGTGGCTCTCCTCATCGCCGGCCTCGCCCGTGCCCTCGCCCGTGCCGTCCCCGTCCTCCTCATCCTCGCTCTCGTCCTGCTTCTCGGGCGCGTCCGGGTGCGGGCTGCTGATGTGCAGCACGCCCTGCCCGCCCTGGCCCTCGCGCTCCGCCGCCTTCTCGCCCGCGTGGCTGAGGCGCTTGTGCGGGAACAAGAACGAGAGCCGGCCGGCGCGGCTAATGCGGGGGTTCACGAGCATCTCGCGCTTTCGCCGCGCGATGCGCCGCCGGCGACGCGCGCAGCAGACCGCCGCCACAGCGACGAGCGCGACCGCGAGCGTAATGCCGATTGCGAGCGCCGCAATAGTGCCCTTGGACAGCCCCGACGACGTGCCGCCGGGCGGCGACTCGCTGTTGTACGGCATGGGCGTTGTGGGCGTTGTCGGATGCGCGCAGATGAATGGTGGCGTTACGATATGGCGATATGCAGAATGGGGAGGCGCGCACGAAGCAGCAGCGGATCAACAGTAAGCACTTTGCCGCGCGCGGGAGGCAGTGGGTGACTCACCCTGCGGTTTGGATGGTCGTGACGTTGACGGCGGCGAGCACGAGCAAAGAGCCCGCGCTGTCGCCGGCGGCGGCGGGGCCGGCGTTGACGACCTCGAGCGTGTGCATGACGGTGGGGTCGAGCCCGGTGCGGAAGAAGAGGAGTGTGGGCGCGGAGGCGGTGAAGGAGGCACGTGAGGAGAGCGTGACGGGATCCTCGCTGTCGAGGGATACGTTGTACGCGCCTGACGCAGGCGTGGTGAGGCCCGTGAGCCCAACGGCTGAGCCTGCTCAAGAGAAGAAGAGAGTCAGCACGCGAGGTATGTGCAAAACGTGGGGAGAACGGAGGAAGAAACCCGGAATACAATAAGCAAGAACGGGGAGCGCAAAGGACAGAGCGCTGGGCTAGGAGGGGGATATATGTATCCGGGGCGCATGCCGGACAGGCAGCATGAGCACAAAAGAACGAAAATGAAGGGCGAAAAGAGTAATGCCACAGATGAGACAACGTGAGAGCGCCGCCGGGGCAGACGCCGCCACGCGTTTCCGAGGGGTTCGGGCGGAAAAGGTGCCCATCAAGCACACCCCACCCGTCGCCATCAGCGGCATTAGCGAGCGTGCGCCAGCCCGGGGAGGCTGCGCACCTGCCCCGTGCTCCTCCGCGACGGAAGGCAGAATCCCCGGAAGGGCACGCGCATCACACACGCAGGGAAGTCGACGTTCAGGGAAGCAGCCGTCGGCGGGGAGGTCGGGGGATCCGCACGCACGCACCGTTGAACACAAGTGTCGCTCTATCCCCGACGTTATTGCTCGTATGGAACGACGCCGTTGAGTCGGGAAGGAGTCCAGACGCGAAGCTCCACTGTCCTCGATATGCAATTTGGTCGTCTGGAACGGGCGACGTGCTTGCGGTGGCGGCGGACGAGGTTGTGTTGGCGCTCGGGCTGACGATAGGCGTGGAACTGTGGGTGTGCGTGAGTACCCATCTGCTACCGCAATGTATCGATGCTCAAAGTTGCAGTGAGGTACGCTTAAGTAGAACGTAAACAACGAAAGCGAGGCTTCAATGAGGGACGGAGAAGACGGACATGCAATATGAATGACGTGAGGTGAGAATCATGCGCATAACACCAAGCAACCAAACGCAAAGTGACACCGAAACGAACGCAAAAGCCACCGTATGCCATAACAAGCTCGGCCGGTACATAGAAGGGGTATCGTACGTGCATGGGAAGTGGTAAGCCGCAATATGGGCATGATGGTAGCACGCACCTCGGCTTCCCTGCGCCCATCTGCACCTGGACGCGATCGAATGCAAGGAGCGGGCCGGTGAGGTTTCCCGACGCGCTTGCCAACCCGGGATTGCGGAGGGTGAGCTGTAGGGAATGCGAACCCTCGGCGAGGCCCTGGAACGACGCCAGGACGTCGGTGGTTGCGGTCTCGACGACGGGATTGGAAGACAAGTGTGAAAGGAAGTTCGTCGTTGCGGTCCCGTCGAGGGCGACCAAGTATGTGAAGTCGGCATCGGTCGACGCTGGGATGAGGGTGCCGAAGATGGTGATGTCGGTCCCTGCCAATCGCATGTATATTAGCAGCCATTCGTCGGAGAAACCGGAATGCAAAGAGAAGGATGGAACCAGCGCATGTACACTTGTCGGCGAGTGCTGACGCAGGATTCGCAATCAAGTATCAAGGCATCGAAGATCAGGCTGTCATACACAGGGTCTGGTAACAGATCCCGCTGCGAACAACACAGGGAACAGCGGCCATGTCGCAGACACGCGGGGTATATTGCACACCATCAGTGGGCGCAGAAAGAAGCACGCAGGGCAGCAGCTTCGTTTCGCAGTGGGGTACATCAAGCGCCCGTACCACACACGGGCGGCTTGCGCTCGGAAGGAGATGGCAATTAGGCACCCGGGATGTCTTCGTTCACATCTCGTCGCGGCCGGACGGGCAACGAAGAGAAGCGGACGGCGTGCTAGGAACTCCGCTGACAGGGGCGACGGCTGACGGTCGCCCTATCGCCCTCTTCTGCGCTGCTAGGCGCGACGCGGCGCGCATCGCGGCTAGCGCACGTCTCGCGCGTCGCTGCGGTACGATAGAGGAGGTGAACTGTGGGCACACGTACCGTTCCAATCGATCCGTAGTTCCGCGCCGTCGCTGGCGGTGAGGTGCAGGCTTGTGCCATTCCCCACTGTAGATGCACTGACCGACGTGCCTGCTCCAGAAGGCGACTGCGCAAAGCCCGAGATGTTGTAGTACTGGTTCCAGCCGGCAGCGAGGTTTGGCACAGCAGTGAATATGTCCCCGAAGGGCTGGTAGAGGACGATCGGGGAGGTGTCGTCGATGGTGAGGGGAAAGGCGGGATCGGCCATGCATGTAGGATAGTCGGATCGGTGTCGACGGAGAAAACTGTGTGTGAGTCCTCAGCGAACAGCGGGCGATTCCCGACGCGAAAGCTGGTGGTAGACGGAGGTTAGAGCTCGTGCAGTCCGAGTCGGCCAGCGCGGAGGAGGGTGGCGAGCAGGTGGGCCGCTGAGACGAAAGGAGAAGTCCCAAGCGAGAACCAGCGTCGGCGAGGGGAAAGGCGCAAGCGAGAGGCGCGGGAGGACTGAAATATAGAGGAAGACGCGTGTCACAGGGTCAGGACGGCCGCTTCTTGGGAGCGCCAGGACTCGGAGAGCGGCCGCGAGGCAGGATGGGAGGGCTGTACATTCAAATCTTGATTCCACACGTCTCGCCGATAAATGGGTGCAGGAGCTTTCCCAATCAGCGGAATAGGGAACGATTACCATGTCGACGTGCGTCGTCGTCGGTGATGCTGCCGCCGTGCGCACGCTGTCCCCACTGTCGGCGAGAGATCGTTCTTTGTTTTCTGGGACTGCTTCGGGTTCTGTTCTTCCCGCGCCGGGCGTATTCTCAGCCTCGCCGGGAGCATGGTTGTTGAGTCGAGCGTGGCAATGCGGAGCGGATATGGCCTAGCGAGCGAAAGTGGCCGGGTTGGGACGATCTCCAGGAGAGACGGAGTGCTTTCCCATCACCGTCCAATCAGGGCGCGCTCATCAAAAAGGCAAACGCGCCTTCCCGATCCATCTCCCCCCAGATGCAGATCGTACCGCTGCCGGTCCTCCTCCGGTCCGCGTCCCGCTGCGACTTGCTCACCGACTGCGACCACTGCGAGCCAGCGATCGATACCACAGCACACTATAGCCTTCTCCATCCTCAGTCCACCGTCTCAGTCTGTTCTGCATGTATCAGCCCCTTGGCACCTCCACCATCTTTCTCGGCCTGACGCCCGGTGCCGCATTCTCGATGACTACGCCATCTCAAGACGCCTGCAGGACGGCCCAGCATCGCCGCAAAGCGCTAGCCCTTCCGGACGAGGTATGGCCAATCGCTGTTCACAAGTTGGCCAATCTTTCTGATAAAGGTCTGAACCTTCCTACTGTAGCTCCAATAAGAACGACGCAAAATAGCGTCGACATCAGCGCTCTGTCGTTGCACAGTGCAGGAGCGACCGGTGCGCGCTGTGGAAGTGGTGCCGATGCTGCGAAAACATCGAGCGTTGCGGCAACACGGCTTATCTCACGGAGCTTCTCTGATGCTGGCTTGTCGCCGGAGGGTGTCGCTTCCACCAGGCCAAAAGGCGGCCATACGATGCGATATCTTTCCCCAAATTTAGACCGTCGTATTCCCTCACCCATGGTGTCGTTACTCTTCGCAAGCGTCGTCGCCGCTTGCCTGGAGAGCACGTTCTACGGCGTATTCCTAATACTCTCACTTGCCGTCCTCTACCTCTGGATCCGCCAGCACGCCTTCAACGGCCCCGGATCGCGATAGGGGGCTTTGATATGGGACCTCAGAAAGTCTCCGCTGATCATTGTCAACCTGTTCTTCGTAGTCATCGTCAGTGTGGTACGAGCTCATTTGGCGTCTCACTAAGACTTGAACTTACGTTGGGCGCGGGTCACAGCACTGGATAGTAGGCATCCGCCGGCTTCTCCAAGCCGTCGTAGACCAGGGCGACACTGTCAAGGCGGCTGCGTACTTCGCCGACCTGCGACAGCCGACGGACGTTATCCGGAGTGGGTCCATGTTCGTCGGCATCCTTGTCGGCGATATCATCATAGTATGCCCCGTTCATTTCTGTCCGCTCCAGACCTCCGGCTCACCTGTGTTCTCACCGCCGCAGACTTACCGCATCTGGCTCGGGTGGGGACGCGACTACCGAGTCATTATTCTTCCGACGTTCACCGTCATTGGCCTCACGGGTAGGGATGCACCTTTTGGACCCAGCTTCTACCCACTGATCGTACTGCGAACCCCCTCAGCGACCGTAGTCGGTTTGATGTATAGAATGCTCGCCGCTACCTCGAATGAAAGTATTTTTGCGGCAGAGTTCAACCGCTAGGTCATAAGCTTCTGTGTAGCATCCCTTATGTACGTCCTTCTGTTCGATTCCCCGACCCGGGCATCTGCTGACAGGCTGACAGCGATACTACCTACGGGACTAGTGAGGTTTCCCCGCCGCGCGTTATTGATATGCGATACTGAACGTCAACAGGCATGATCGTATACCGCCTGTGGACTACAAATCGAGCGCGGAAGAAGCTTGACCTATTTACTGCAGACCTTGGAAGTCCCATCCTGGTGCGTTTCAGACTCTCTTGTGTATGTGGGCTTAACATCATGCCTCCGCTACCGCAGGAAGCGATGACGATATTTGTTGAAAGCGCGGCCTTGTATAGGTTCGTTGTCGTCTCGTATATACGGAGCAGGTCACGATCTTGCGCGATGCTGAAACCTTGCGCACAGCGCGTGGACCGCCTTGTACATCGTTCTCTACGCTCTCCACTCTCCGCTTCAAGTCGTCATCAGTAACTGCAACCCCACTATCACCGGCATCTCGATTATGCTCATCACTGTCCGCGTCAACGCTGCCGGCCGCCCCCACGCAAACTCGCACAGCTTACCGTCTATGGTAGCGGCAGGCGAGCGTCCTGCTACAGTCCATTTTGGGGGAGAGCCTATCCCATCGCATGCGATCAGTCTGGATGTGACGCGGTCGGCAGAGCGGGAGGGCGAGGGCAAGGAGCCGCGCTTCACTGGTTGAGCAAGCGTGAGGGTAGTCGCGCAAGATGCTTATGCGTGTGCGTTTATATCGTTTTGGTTATTGTGTTTGTATTTATCACTACTACTCCCTCTGACAGCTAGATATCACGCTTAAGGTAGAGAAAAAGCACCAGTCACACCGGTCTGGGATACCACATCCGGTGTTCAAGCATCCGTAGCCACGTCTCAAGTCCCAAGGTAGGCTACCCTCTGGCGTTGCAGATGGTTATGTATAAGATTTCACGAGATTACCAGTACGGAAGGGAGTGAGTGGCAGGTGTCTGGCTCGAGCTGGCGTGTGCATCCGAGTCAACGCCTCGTACCGATAAGATCTATGGGCGCCAGATAATTTTCACAATGGACACTTGCCGAGTACTACGCGGTCACGTGCAGTGCGCGTTGTTGAACAAACAAAGGTTGGCTTCGTGTTTGAGCGCCTACTAGTGTTACCATGCGCTGCCTAACAGAATAAAGCGTGTATTTATTCAAGGAGCACATATGGAAATTAAACAATCAGCCTAAGTAGTATGGCAGTACACGACGGCAAGTGAATGAGATAGATCTTTCGGACAAGAAATTCCAGTGTCACATTGGATCTTGCACTGTGCGCTGCAGCTTCACTCTTCTAATCTGAACAGTCAGCAGAGATATAATAAAAACGATGCAAACTTACCAGTCAAGCCCGCCTCGTCGCCTTCTTCCCGAGTTTCGGATCAGGTTCGGGCTCCCGAAAGCGCCGCCCGTTTGATACAATCCACCTTCTCTCCTGACACCGTATCCTCGTAAATTGCCTATGCATCCCCATCACCCGAACCGAAGAGCCCGCTTCGCGCCAATCCGTCGTGAAAGATTTCAGCTGCGGAAATACCACAGAGAGGAGCATAGCGAGAGCCGGCTCATCGTCCTCCCGGAGTGTCAAGCCTGGGAGACGAAGACTCTCGAGGGGCGGTGGGTGGGTCGACCATAAGCGAATAGGAGGGCGATGTTCGTCGAGGTAGGGGATATCGCGTAAGTCGATTCCGAGATCAAGGGATGTGAGATAGGGACAGTAGCGGGCAAGGAGGAACACGCCGGCGAGGGTTGCCTGGGGAAAGCCTAGCTGCCCCGGCCGTGGATCCGCAGGCCCGGTAATCATGCCAAAATTGGGCCAGCAGAAGTGGAGAGATTGGATGTTGGGCCATGCCCTTGTGACGGCTTCCAGGAGTGCGTCATCGACGACAACGAGGCAATGGCCGAAGATGGTCAGTTTCTGGAGCGCTGATAGGGAGAGCAAGGGCGCGATGTGCCGGGACCCATAGATCGGGGGCAGCATGCCGTCCCATCCGCCGGTGGTGAAGTCGAGCTCCCGGATAGTATGGGAAGATGGGTGGCGCGCCAGAGATGTGAAGAAAGCTTCAAGTAGCAAGGGAGGTAGCGTGTGGTGTCCCGCGTCATAATCCTTGATGTGTAGTCTCCAGAGCGATGAGGACGAAACGACGTCCATGAATGCGACACACCACTCGGAGGGAGCCCTGTATAGGGTGAGCTCCTTCAGAGCGGAGAAGAGACCGTACTGTCTTCCATGCGGCAGAGCTTCCCAATCGTACTCCGTCGAGTCGACATGCACGACAAGCTCTTGCAGCTTGCGTAGGGATCCCAGCGCCAAGAGCGCAGCGGGCGAAACGTACGCCCAGTACGATTCGAATTTGACCAGATGAAGGAAACCTGCGACGGCGGGGCCGGATAGTCGCGCAGGCATTGCTGAATCGTGAATCGTGTGGCGAAAGGAGACGGTGGAGTGTTCAATCTTCAGGCTCTCTACGAGCGGAGACCGATAGGACAAGCTTTCTACGACTTCCGTCGGTCGCCATTCATCGGACGGCCAATCGCCGAATTCAATGAACGCCTTTTTCAGCCTGGGGCCGAACAGGGGTTCCGAGCGATACACCGGGCCGCGACCAGCGACACGAGGTTCGCAACAGTTGTACCGGTGGATCTCGGAGTGATAGAGAGAGCGCAGGTTTGGAAGCAGGGGCTGGGGTCCGTAATGCATTAGTTTAGCCCAGACGTCGAAGGGGATGTCGTGTGTGTTGAACAGTTGGGTGTTGCCGCCTTGGGTCTTGAGCGCCCTCACGCGACTAGCGTACGTGGCAAAACGACGGAAGTCGTCTGTGACTGGCTCGCGATGAAACATCTATACAGTCCCTCTTAGCATCCGTTGACAATGACATCGTAGAGACGCTGCACTTGCCACGTGATATCTGATCGCGCGTTCTTGAATTTTGACACCATTGGGCACGAAGACGATCGTACACAGGTCCTTCGGAAGTGTGTACGCCACCAAGGGTACTAGCGATCCTATTGTGTCCCAGAGTACGTCGAGCGCAGGTTTGCTGAGACAGCTGCAAGTCAATGCCAGCGCGGCGAGGAACGGTTGTGTTTGCGGGGTTTGCCATGCGTCGGGTTCACGGAGGAGGCGACAAAGGCGCAAGATGATCTCAGGTGGAAGAGCAGTGAGGTATGACCGTGACATAGCTGTACTGCTGTCCCCTGCTAGGCACGGGGCGAGGAGGTCTGGGAGGGTAGTGGTAGCATGACTCACGGCTACGTTGCGACAGTGGCTATCACATTTGGGTTGGCGTCACAGGACGAGAGGCATGCTTACCGGGGCATGTAACTTGAACAGCCAGGCGGTCTTCCAATTTCGTACTTTGCACGTCCTACTTCGCTTCATTGCATGATCCCGCTGAGCACCTTGAGAAGGTCTGTAACCGTGGAGTCAGGAGAAGGAGAGAACCGCGGTGGCGATGAGTCTATCCTGCACCATCTACATATGTCATATATTCGAAGTCCAATGCAACCCTAGCACGGTCGCGTGTTATGTGAATATCACGGAACTGCGTGCATCACGGGCGCCGTCGATCTATCTGTCGCCTTCGGGCATTCCTTGGTGTGTGCCTCCTGCGTTTATAGGGTGGGTACTACATTCGCTCGTCAATACGCGACTTCCAGGACACCGCACGAGATCATATGCGGAAGCTGTACATGCCTACTAATCGCCTGCATGCGCACCTTCCAGCACATCCACGAGGCGGCGGTACAACGTTGAACGCGGTGCACACGTACAGACACGTCGTCAAGCTTTGACCCGTTCCGCTGTGGTTCCGTCTTCAGATCGCTCAAACTGAGGGAAATGAAGACGATACCGGGATTGGCGTGCGGCCAGTGCAGCGTATCCGAGTACACCTACATAGGCTACACGACGCGCAGGCTATCAGGGGCACGGGCTGTCATTATGGACGCCTAGTATTCCCGGGAAATGCTCTACGCGTACATCGTTGTCGTGTCGGACTTGAGGTGCTTTGGGGCATCTCGCAGGGTGTTGTCGTCGAGGTCGGACGCCACGTTGTGTGCCATAGACGACGTGTGGGGTTCGCGCACAGTTACGGTCGAAGGTGACTCTGCTGACACGACATGGGGCGGAAACAGTGTGAGATTCACGTGCCTATATTTCCGGTGAGAGATGGCTAGAGCATGCATACAAGATTCGGAAACACACCGATAGCGCTCAGGCTGTAAAAATCATTGGCACGACAATAGCTCGGGTGCATCATGTTCGCGCCAACCTCATGTTCATGACGTACGTGCGCACGCAACTCATCAGGAGCGCAAGTGGTACCTGGGAGTGTGGTGGTGTAAGGCAAGTTGCACTCCACACTTACTGCGGAAAGTTGATGAATTGCAAAGCGGCGCCAATCTAGGCTCGTAAACCAGCCTCACGTTCGGGGTGGAAGACAATCGTTCATGTCAGTTCTACTCGCCTTGAATTGCCAGTGCTCGCCTCTCGGAGTCGACTCGCGCCACCGAGTCCTGGTGGGTGCTGTCAGAAATTCGAGCTCAGATGTCTATCTACAGCGAATTAGGTTTATTGTGTTAGCCTGGGTATAGAAAGGCACTGTTGGCCATCACTGTTGGCCATAATAGATAAAACAACCAGATCTGCACTATATTACAGGGGTGTTATACAGCATTGCTACAACGACTCGAACCTGAGGATAGCGACCACACCTATTGATACACCTAAACCCAGATGTGGTAGATACGCAACACGTACCGGAAACATAGAGTAAGATCCAACCATCCTGACGTCACACTGCCACACCTCGGATGGTCCGCTGCAAGTTTCGAGAAAAAAGGAACACCACGCATGAGGCTCGACCGATCAGGTGAAGGGGCTGAACAAACGAACCTGTGCGGACGACCACCGCGCGATGATGTCTCTTATCCTGGCCGCGAGAGTCCGCTTGCACAGCTCGCACGAAAGACGCGGCGTCAGCGACGAGAGCGCGCTCTCTATCGCACCCGGAGACGTATCTGGCGCCGCAGCAGCAACAGGCCCCAACATCAGCATGCGCGTCGACGTCTGACGCAGAGCGTAATCGGCGCACCGGCACGCGCATCCCATGCGAGGTAGCCCGCAGCGAGCGCCCACGCCCGCGCGAGCTTCTTCTGCTCCGCAAAGTCGCACTGGGGCGTGCACGGGTGTAGTTGCGGTGCCGGGAGGAGGAGCTGCTTCAGCGTGTCGAGCCGGCCGACGTGGAGCAGGAACAGCTTGGTCAGGTAGGGGCCGGCGATCGTGCGCGCCAGATCGTCCGTGAATGCGTCGAGGGAAAACGAGAGCAGGTGGCTTGAGACGGGCTGCGCCAGCGAGAAGAGGTCGTGCCGCGATGCGAGCGCGTAAACGGCCAGGGGTTGGGTGGGTGCCAGGCCCAGGATGAGGTCGAAGAGGGGCGGAAGGACGTGGCATTGAGGAGACATGCCGTAGGAGGGCATCGCGTTGACGGCGGCAATGAGCGTGTCCAGGGGAGGGTTGTAGTGTGTGCACGACATTTTGTACACTGAATGAAGCACAACGTTGAGGACGTCTGCAGGTTCGGGGACGCATACGACAGTGTCGAGAATGCTGGATTGCGCGGGCTCGAGAAAGATAAGGTAGTTGAAGTCGTTGGTGGACACACTCAGCAGTTGCGCGGTGTGGACGTGGAAGACGACGCCATCCGAGGAGATGAGTACAAGGTCCGATAGGATATGTAATAGGTTGGCTGCGGCATGGAAGGTGGTCGAGACGGACACGGAGGGAGCGTCAGGGACAAAGTTGTTGTAAACATGGTCTTCCCCATCTGAGGCGGACCCAATCTCCGAACGCTGGGGGAGTGGGGCTCAATGAAAGGGGATATAGCTCATCGTAGGATGGGTATTCACCGGGGGAGTCAGCACCTGCGCAGACAGCCGGTGAAGCTCGCATGCACGCTTGAACGCAACGGCCTCCTCGAATTCGGCCGTATGCGGCTCCGGGAGTTGGAGGGACCAGTTGACCATGGAGGAGCCTGAGGAGGAGAAGTCAGAAAGCTCGAAGCCGGTGGAATCGCCCATGTAGAGGAGCAGAGAAAAAGGAGCCGAGGTTGTGAGGGGGAATTGGACGACGGAGCGAGTGCCAACCGTAGTACCTCGCATCATCCAAGCCTCGGACTCACGAGGAGCCCGCGAGCCAACTTCCGGGAAATAGCATCCAGGGCTGGCGCACTGAAGCAAGTCTCGGCAGCCTTAACCGGATAAGTGGTGCGACTAGAAGAGGCGTGGCTATTCGGTCAGCGCTGCAGTGTCACGGATGCCAGTGCCTGAGAGCTGCCCACGGCGGTCAGGCCCCGGGCTGAACGCGAAACTTGAGTACTAGGTGCATACCCTTTGTCTGCCACCGACTCAGAAAGTGGTCCCAAACCGTGCCGGTACGGTGGGCTTGAGTGTGATGAGAGGTTGCACACCTCCGACCCATGGCCGTGCGCACCCACACGCAGGGTGAGTGGAGTATTCAGGCTTGTCTAGACTTCGGAGTACGGGCTCGCCGAACAGCACGATAATTTCCGCCAGTGGTCTTGCCACCAGCGTCAGCGTCAGGTATTCGGGGGTCGAAAAAGTTGTGTACTCTGCTGGTGGAACGTGCGATATTTGAGTATCTTATCGTGACATGAGAGAGCACTACAAATTGCTCACTAAGTGTTACTGAACGTTCTCTGGCATCGGTACAGAGATGTGCTACGAACACAGAGGTATGTACTGATGCGGCGCCACTCAAGCTGGTTGACGGCGTAAACAACGGGCGCACCTTCGCCAGACTGGCCCAATGGGGAACTCAAGTTCAGCACGTCATGATTCATCCCCTTCGGATCCTCCTCCTCCAGCAGCTAGCGCCCGCGAGCCGCTTTCCCATTGGCTCCAGCTACTGACAGAGCGTCACGATGCGGAGGAAGACTCGGCGGGGCAAGCGTTGTGCTCGAGCTTGATTTTGACACTACAATATCGTTCTACACTCAGTACTCAGGCCTCAGGCTGCATCCGAGTCCGAGCTCTCAGATCGTCAGACCTCAGGGAAAGCCGGATTTTTGTGTTCGCCTTCCGGTCACGCCCTGGCGCGACGGGTTGTCCTATTCAAGCGCCGGCAGGAATGGGAACGAGACTCTGACCAGGTCCGGATCCGGAATATGTATCCTTGAGCTTGTCCGACCACGAGTGGTCTTTCAGCTGGGGCCCAGCCTGAACTGGGCACTCGACCGACGTTCCCAGATTTAAATTTAAATTGGAATAAAATTACATCCATTCAATGCAATGATGGGACGATGTACAGGACTCCGTTGACCAGCCCCGATGGAGCCGACACTGGTGGCCTGCAATACATCTCCACTAGTATGTTACAGCGGGGCACGTGCGACAACAGCGGGTAACGAGATGACAACGAAGCAAAATATACACATCGATACACGTAAATCCCGCTGAGAGACCTCTGCAATCACACCCGGGAGACAAGGAAAACCAGTAAGTGCCACCAAAAGGAAAGTATACTTACCGCGTCGGCAGTGCCGCACCACCACCGCTTGGCAGCGCTCAGTGCTCAGATCGTCCACTGCAAGCAAAAATTCATCCGAATCCTCGCATCAGCGACCAGTGTGAAGCAAGGGCGGCTGGAGCGACGAACCTGCACGGCTAACCAGCGAGCGATGACATCTTTTATTCGGGCCGCGAGGGCTTGCTTGCACAAATCGCACGACAGATGCGGTGCGAGCGACGTGAGCGCGCCCGCCAGTATACTCGGGGACACGTCTGGCGACAGCGCCCGATGAGCAAGTGGTCATGGGGTATTCAAGCAAAAAGAGCAATCGACGCACCGGCACGCGCCTCCCACGCGAGGCAGCCAGCGGCGAGCGTCCACGCGGTCGTGAGCTTCTTCTGCTCTACAAAGTCGCACTCGGACGTGGAGGGGTGCAGCTGCGGTGCCGGGATGAGGAGGCGTTTGAGCGCATCGAGCCGCGTGACGTGGAGTAGGAAGAGCCTGCTCAGGTAGCTGGCGGCGACGGTGGCTGCGAGCTCGTCTGTGAACGTGTCGAGGCGGAAGGAAAGGAGGTGGCTGGAGACGGGCTTAGCGAGGGAGTACAGATCATGTCTCGATGCCAGCGCATAAACGTTTAGGGGTTGCGTAGGCGCAAGGCTGAGGATGAGGTCGAAGAGAGGCCGGACGTGCACCTTGGGGGCCATGCCGTAGGAGGGCATCGCATCGACCGCGGCGATGAGGGTGTTCAGGGAATGTTTATAGTGCGCGCACGACATGTTGTATGCGGCGTGTAAAGTGACGTTGAGTACCGTCGCTGGCTCGTAGACGCACGCAATGACCTCAATACCGCTCGGTCGCGCCTCGTGGGAAGGAATGAGGTTGTTGAAGTTGTTGGTAGACACGCTGAGTATCTGCTCGATGTGGACATAGAAGAAGACGCCGTCTGAGGAGATGAGCGCAAGATCTGTCGGGATAGGAAGGAGGTTGGCTGTCTTGTTGAACGTTGTCGAGACGGAGATGGTGAGACCGTCGAAGAGAGCGTCGTTGTCGCTGGCATGGGGGTCACAATCTGAGACAGAACCGATGTATGAGCTCTGCAGGAGTGGAATTCAACGGAATCCCGGTTCATTGTGGAATAAAACTCACTAGAGGCGTCAATATCGGAGAGACGAAGTGGTGTTCAGGTTGGCGTCCACGCATGAACACATCGATCGCTTCAGATTCCTCCCCACTCGTCTCGGGGGGTAACAGTGACCGATCGGCCAAGTAAGAACTGGAGGAGGAGGGGAAATCGCAAGGCTCGGGCATAAAAGCATCGCCCATGCTGAGGAGAGTATCGGGGCTTTTTTGGGGGGGACGTGCGTCGCGGAGAGTGCGAATCGTCCGCGCTATAACCCGTACGTCTTCCGCCATCTTGCAGTACTGCGCACGCCGCTCTCGGGTTTACAAGGGTTGTACAAGAGCCAAAGTCCGGGAGATAGCAACCTGGTTGGCGCAACTATTGGGGTCGTCCTCGGCAGTGTTCGGCGGGTAAGTAGGGCGGCTAGAAGAGAGCGTGGTTTTCTGCGCCAGTATCGGGGGTATCAGCGCCTTGGACCTGCGCACAGGCGGTCAGCTTGAACTGAGGGTTGGCGGTTTACCAGCCTCTAACTCGGGCCATCGTCATGAACTGTGCGTGCAACTTGGGCACGGAATCTTGCACATTCCGCAGGGCTGCGCGCATCTACAGAAACCTACCCGCACGCGGGGTTGGTGGGCGCGGGGTGGGGCACTTTGGCTCTAGATGGGCGCGGGGTCTTCAAATGCCCGTGCGGCCGGGCTTGCGTTCAGGCGGAGCTTACCGACTGCTTGGATTCCTGTCGGAAAATGATGAGTCAATTTCAAAGTCCTCTAGAAGCAAGTACTTTCGCATGCAGCCCCTGACGTATCAGGGCCGGAGTGTAGCATCGACCGTCGTAGCCGAGACTTGCTGATCTCGTATTGGGCCCTCGGCATACAAATGTATTTTATTGGGGCGTGGTTGGCCTTAGGCTAGAGGGACCGAGGCTGTCGATGAGGCTCCAAAGCTTCAAAGTAGAAACCCGAACGTTACAGTACTGTGCACCATCCTTCCTGTAGGAGTAAGGCCGGCGACGCGCATGACTGGCGACTCTCCTGGGTGGGAAGCACTGGCGGGTGCGGCCACTTGACGAGAGATGGCGGTTCTTGAGGGTGCCCAAGGTTTGCTCGCGGTGCAAACAACAGCGCGTCATAGTCGGACTATCCTGTTTGGGACAGTAGGTTCAACGCGTCATCGCTTCGGACACAAGTTCTCCAGCATGTGTCGTGTACTTACACATATCCTGCAGCGCATTGAACATTGAACTGACGACCGCGGGCGGGAGCCTCGGAACACGCACCGAGCTTTCTTTCACGTTGGGCAGCGGGAGCGCTTTGTGGTACTTTCTTACTACGACGGCTGTCTCGGATGCTCCTGGATGTGAATGCAGGGAACTGAGGTCTATTGCGAGCGTCGCGACGAGCAGATTTCTATAGCCTCACGGAATTTGGCGTGTATGTGAGGATGCCGACGAGCACGACAAGCTGAGGACGACGGCGTACAACACAGCAACTTGCAAGGGAACCGCACCGGCTCGGGAGTGTGGATCCGGGACACTCCGGATCCAGGGCAAATCCACGTGCGTAGCAAGACTAGTAACGGCGAAGGCCGATGTCACTGCCAGGCCGCCGGGTCTTGCCCGGGCCCCGGACTTTCTCCGAGGCGCGTCAGGGCGCGTCCCGTGGGGATTGCGGGGAAGGACCCGGGGCAGTCCAGACCGATCGCGGGATGAGCGGCCCGGGGCCCGGGGCTCCTGCCTCTGGTCCCCGGCGTCGACGCTCGCTAGATATTACTCACCTGGCCTCTCTCTGTCCTATATATTCATCCCATGCGCCCTCCACGCCCTCCTGAAACCCCCAACCCTTTCCCATCCTCCCTGATCGTCGCATCCATCTCCCATCCACGATGGCCACGAACATCGATGATTCGCTCTTCCTCGGTCTCGACCTCTCTACGCAGGGCCTCAAAGCGGTCCTCATTGACGAGGAGGGCGCACCAGTGCACGAGTCTGCGGTGAACTTTGACCGCGATCTCCCTTCGTACGGCACTACAAATGGCGCAATCCGTGGACCCGGCCCCGGCGAGGTCACCTCGCCAGTATGTAGTGAGTACTATATGGCACAGAAAAGACACAAAATTCGAATTTTGAGGGGGAGGGGGGTGGGTGGTCGCCGCTGGGACACCCTCCTGGCGACAAAAAATTCTGGGGGTCAAGGGGGTGGGGGGCTCCAAATCCGAGGTTAATCACATTTTGGGGCATTGTGTCGCCAAATAAAATCCTCGATGCCTCTTGGTTCGTACGTAATTTTAATCGATTGGCCGCTTCCGATGCTGTTCTTGCAGCCATAGAGTATGCTGACGCTCCAAGAGTCTCAGTCTCCGACCACGAATTCGTGACATCTCGTCGCGCTTCGCTCTTGCTTTCTTCCACCACCCTCTCCTTCTGGCATCGATAATCGCCTGCTGGTGGCGCCCGTGCAGTTGCCCAGCACGCAGCACGCCGCTTGTGCGAACCTGCAGGCCTCACTCGGACCCTCCATTTTCACGGATCACTTGAGTCAATAGGCAGTGCACTCGCTTGTGGCGAGTCTCGGCTCTCGACAGCATCAAGCTGCCCGAACGCCTCCACCTGCAGGAGACGAAGTCAAGCTCGAAATGAATTTCAGGGACCAAGTGCCCTGTCTCGCGACGGTGGCACTCAAACAGTCAAGCCATTGGATTCCGTTGTCTAGCTTGACTCCCCGTACACAACCCACTCCAAAAGCCGCTCATGGACCATCCAGACGCTCCGGCTGCCTTCGCACGCCGCTCAGATGTACACGCCTCATGGCATCACCAGCAGGCCACGGCTAAAGAAATATCTCACCGGTGGTCAAGCCTGACAATGCCGCAGCGTCTGGCGCCCCATCCCGAGCGCGATCCGGCGAAGCCAACACAGAGCGGCTCCCCGAGGGACGTCCGTGATCTGCCTTGTCATAAACACGTCGGAGGTCGACTTTCGCGACGTGAAAGTGTCGTGCGCGCAGCAACAGATGCGCGCGCCCTCAGTCACACTCTCTCAGCCTCGTGCATCTTCACGTACGCCCTCCCCCATTATAATACCCACAACTTGCCCTCGTGCACTGTTTATAGTCGAACACCGCCACGCTTCCGATGGCTCGTGCGAGCCACAACGACATTTCGCGCGTGCGCAGTCGTCGAGGACACATTCGTCCTCGAGGCTCTCCGCGCATCGCGAGTACATGTTATCTGCGCGCAGGAGCGTGCGTCCAGCGGTCCGCCATCGATGGCGCAGCACCTCTGCAGCACGCCGCACGTCCGATTGACGTTACGCCTTCCCAGCCCGAGCGTGCTGTTCGCCCCAGATGCCAGAGATGTCCCCGGCACGTCTCCGCGCCATCATTCCCGAGCCTCGATCGCCCGTTCCTTGCGCTGGCAGCGGCACATGCATGCCTGCCGCGCTAGGCCGTACACGGTGGTGGCGCCCTGATTGCCCGAAGCTAGCAGTGGATGCGGAAGCGCGCCGTGCGGCGCTCGTTGTGTGCTGCTGTGGGCGACCGCTGGCGACGGGCGCACCCGAGGCAGCCCGAAGCTCGAACCTGAAACGGCGCCACTATCATCAAGGGGGATGGGCGGGCCCGCCGAGCGCGCGGGCGGCTGGACATGGTACATATATTACATCGATTGGGCGCGGAGTGTAGGGGCGGGGGCCGCCCCGTGCGCGCTGGGGGTGGAATGGATCTCCACGAGCGTGATAGGATGCCTGGGCGCCGAAGGTCAGAGGTACTGGGGGCTAACGCTAGAAGCTCGGGTTTTGACAGACTTCGACGTCTGACGGCGGGCGAGCCGGTGGACCTGTTAACATCTGGCCAGGCCTGTGAAGCTCCGTTGTACACGGAGCAGTGATCAAGAGCCCCGCTCAATGCACTTTGTTGGATTCTAATCATGTGGCTGAGAGAGGACGGCGGGCGACGGCAGAGTACTCGGAGCTCCTCGATAAAATATCGTAGTGCACGTACTTATGAGGTGCGTCGAGTGGCAACTTGAGGGCATATGACTCGTGACTCGGTGGGATGCGCAGCGAGGTGCGTGTTTCAGTGGTCATCAAGACAGATTCTTACCTGAGCTCCCTTTTTGCAAACCAGTCGCATGCATGACATATGTGCTCACAGCACACAGACGCGTCCTCTCTACTCACCTCCTTCGAACTTACTTACCTCCGCGACGGAATACCTAAAAAGGAAATCCCGCCCAGACCGGGATACACATCGGGATATCGGCCATTCCCCGACTCCTCGGCTCCGGCGGTATGCGAGTGTGTCCCGCCGGCAGAGTTGCTTGCTACACGCGTGAGCAACGCAAGAGCGTAGAACATCCGCCCATGACGCGGCCAGATGAAATTTCCTGGGTCTGCGTGGCCCTCAAGAACGAAAAACCTCCGATTGTATGTCAGACTCGTTGCTTCTGAGTTGCGTCTTAACTTGGCTCATGGTCATCCTGTTTACAGAACCATGCGTTGCAGTCGGCACATCATCGCAGAGGTTAACGTTACACACTCGGCCTGGCGTACGTAGCTATAAGGAGGTATGCAATTCAAACGGATTTTATCAGCCGAGGGCTTCAAGGTCAGAAGAGCTAGCTGTGCAGCAGTGTCATAGTGTGCACGTTCGAGCGGACCCGTCACACGTCCTTTCACTTGGCAGTTACGGCTCCGCTATGCACCTGTTCGGTAAACCTGGTCAGACTCTGTATTGTACTAATGTCTAACATCCTACTCAGATTTCTATGCTGTCCCAGGACCATTTACAAATTCACACGGCAAGAGGTACATAGCCTTGATCGACGGCCGAAATCAGTTGAGCCCGCTGTCTCCACCTGCAACTCGCCTAGGTATCGGAGAATACAACCTTCGCCCTCGGAAAAACTTCCCAACCCGCCCAACCGGGCATTGTCACGCCAGAGGACAACTTCTTAATAAGGACAGGCGGCTCAGCGCACACTCCGTATCACCAACCACGCACACTCTGCACACTCGAACATGCTCGCGCGTTCTTCGCTTCCCACCCGCGCCGTCACCCTCGCCGCCTCCACCCGCCGATCGTTCGCGCAGCTTGTCCAACCCCGCCTGTATAAGAAGGGCACCCCGCCGCTCGTTTCCCCCAGACTCAGACTCCAACCCCACAACCACACCCACACCCAGCTCAGAAACATGTCCTCCTCGAACACCCCCGCCTTGTTCCAGCCGATCCAGGTCGGCGACATCAAGCTCGGCCACCGCGTCGTGCTCTCGCCGCTCACGCGTATCCGCGCCAACGGCGAGCACGTCCACGGCGACCTCGCGCTCGAGTACTACAAGCAGCGCGCGAGCGTGCCCGGCACGCTCCTCATCACCGAGGCGACGTACATTTCGCCCCAGGCCGGCGGCATGGCCAACGTGCCCGGGATCTACAACGACGCGCAGATCGCGGCGTGGAAGAAGGTGCGTGCATAGAGCTTGTTGGGCAATCGGACGGGGAACTCATACGGCTGTCCGCGAACCGCAGATCACCGACGCCGTCCACGAGAAGGGCTCGTACATCTACTTGCAGCTGTGGGCCCTGGGCCGTGCGGCGCGTCCCGCGTCGCTGCACGAGGAGAACCCGGACTACCCCTACGTCTCGGCGTCGCCCATTGCGCTCAGCACCAGCCCCGATGACGTCCCCAGGGCCCTGACCAAGGAGGGTGAGTGCCGTTGAATTCCATCGGCCGCCAGCCTTCTCACTTCCACTACCTTCGCAGAGATCAAGCAGTACATCCAGTGGTACGCGACCGCGGCCGCCAACTCGGTCCACAAGGCGGGCTTCGACGGTGTCGAGATCCACGGCGCCAACGGCTACCTCATCGACCAGTTCCTCCAGGACGTCTCGAACAAGCGCACGGACGAGTACGGCGGCTCGATTGAAAACCGCGCTCGGTTCGCCCTTGAGGTCACCGAGGCCGTCGTTGCCGCCGTCGGCCAAAGCAAGACAGCGATGCGTCTAAGCCCCTGGAGCTTGTACCAAGGTACGCGTTTTCTCGCCCAGGTCGATGATGTGGACACTCATACCGTCCCCAGACATGCGTGAGGAGAACCCCATCCCCACCGTCACGTACCTCGTCGAGCAGTACAAGAAGAAGTACCCCAACTTGGCGTACATCCACGTCGTCGGCCCCGGTGGGCCTGGCAGCAAGGGCCCTGACAATGAAGAGGTAAGCAGTATCCTGAGTAATTTTCGGTCCTGTTGTTTCGAACTCAGTGAACTAACGCGGTTGCGATGCTAGGACACCCACTTCGTCCAGAAGCTGTGGGCGCCCCGCCCGGTCATCACCACGGGCGGTTACGACCGCGAGTCCGGCATCAAGGTCGCTGAGGAGACTGGCCAGATCGTCGGTTATGGCCGTGCCTTCCTGTCGAACGTGAGTATATGCTCCATATGACATTAGCGACGGGTAGCTGACTAGTTTCGCTCGTGACATGTAGCCGGATCTGCCGTTCCGCCTGCAGAACAACATCAAGCTGAACGACCCCGAGTACGACTCATTCTACCTGCCGATGGCCGCCAAGGGTTACACCACGTACCCGTTCTCGGAGGAGTTCTTGAAGACGCAGCCCAAGGCTTGAGTCGCTCCGCGTCGACGCTCTCCGAGTCAGAGCTCGTTTGGATCGTAGATTGATCATGTAAATTTCTAAAGTCATCAGAGAATATTTGGATCACCGTTTAGAATATGACTCTATGTTCATGGACATGGGCACGATGACGGAAGTACGAGAGTCAAACTCAAGTTACAAAAGTGATTCTGGGTGTGGCACAAGCCCTAACCCGAGAAGAGCTGCATAAACCTAAAACTTCGGTCCGATTGTTCCGGGCCACTGTCCTGGCAGGCCCGCGCGCTTGTAGAGAGCAGCTCCCCCAAGTCGTTCCCCACCTCTACTACGGCTTTCACCGAGTCTGTAGTCCTGACCTACTCTACGAGATACAGCAAACTCTGGAATATACGGCTCTGAACACCTGCCCCGCAACAAGGTCGTACGCGAAGTTACCGAGTCTACGTCCCTACTACTACTAGTGCATACTAGTGCTGCTGCTGCTGCACCTCAACGCCTCAACACTTATACACCATCATCTCAGCGTTCTATCCCACCGAAGTCATATTCTACGGATGCATTAACGACTCTGAACACTGCTAAACATACACTCCAACATGCAGCATGCTTCCTCGGCCTCCAGTTCCAAGGCGCCCCCGGGCACGATCGACTTCCTCCCGGACCTCTTCGCGCGCGCACACGCCGCGCACCCCGACTTCCCACTCGACCACGTCATCATCCAGTCGCTGCTCCTATGCCTCATTGCCCAGCCGCGGTCCCCGAGTGTGAGCGCGAAGCAGGCGTATGACAGCGCCGTCCGTCCTGGGTTACATTTGATCCTGCGGACGCGGGAAGAGGATGTGGGGGTTGTTGTCAACCTCGTTGCACTGGTGAGTTCGTCTATTCGTCCGCACCATCACCGAATTGCATCCCTGTCTGTGATCAACACGCTCCTCCATAACTTCCGTGATCGTCCGTCGCGGTAACGTCTGGTCGCATGCGGCGCTCGGGCGTATTATGGCGGACGTGTGTGTTGCGTGCTTAGCTGCTACGCACTGTGTGCTTCAGCGCAGTCTTTTGCGCATTAGTCCGTATATATGTGGGATCATAAGGTTCTCACGAGATCTGCCAAACGCATTGTCGCAATGTTATGTGCGAGCATACGCGGAGATGTATGAATGCAACATTGCTATTCCAAAATGAGCGGTCGAATCCATGCTGCTGAACCACGGATGCAATAATACAGCCCTTCTATGTATCCGCGCTCGCAATTTGAAGAGAACCACTGGCGACCGTATGGCTACTTTGATTGATTTGCCAGAACACTGACCTCTCATTCATTCACAGACTCTACAACACGTCCTCGGCGTTTCCACGCACAAGCACAAGATTGGTGCCCGCACCGACCCGCCGTCCCGCCAACGCCGCCGCCGCTCCACCGGGGCTACCCACACCTCGTCTCATGCTCCCGCGACCGACGATCCCGACGCGTTCCTCCGTGCCCTCTTCTTCCGGCGCGGCCCCCACCCCTCGTTCTCCTCCCACCGCAGCAGCACCCCGCGCCCGCGCTCTGGGATAAGCCTTGACGCGACCCCGAAGTCCGGGACGATCCCGCTTGGGGGGCAGGCAAAGAGCCCCCGGGGCGTGGCGCATGTGCCCCACCGCTCGGCGTCGTACACGGCCGCGCCGAGCACGGACGGGGAAGACGAGTATTTCGACGCGTCCTCCCTCGCGTCGTCGCGCCGCCCACTGCTGCCGGGCCACACGCCTGCGTCGACGATGCGGTCCCGCGGGTCGAGCAGAGCCCGGCCGAGCGCACACCGGCTTCGCACGGACCCGTTGCCACTCTCGTCGCTGTTCACGCTACCTGGTTCCGAGGGGCACGACAGCCCGGCGTCGACCCCCGCGACTACAACCACGACTGACAGCCTGAGGCCCCAGAAGAGCGGACCTGGAAGCGAACGGGCCAGCGATCCTGGACAGCCGGTATCGGCGATGCCCAGGGCCGTGGTGGTGTCCGGATTAGAGCACACCACACCACCTGCCCAGAGAGCTCTGATGAGGGTGCTTACGGAGAGGCGACTGATCATGAGCGGCTACGGCGGCGACCAGGAGGGAGATAGTACAGAGCGAGAGGTTGACGTGGACGTCGAAGACGGGACATGGAATTTGCCCGATGGTTTCGTGATGGTTTATGTGTGCAAATGGGACCCGCACGAACGGCCTCCGATACAACGCGGCTTGGTATGTCGTTTTCACCCGCATTCAGGATTGATGATATTCATGCTGTTCTTGGGCAGCTTGACAAGTTCTCGATGAGTTCAGAAATCTTACTTCCGGCCGCCGTACGACAGCATTATCTCGCCTACCGCGCAGCGCATAGTACACCCACTCCTCGCGGAACACCCATCCCCTCCCCTCTCGCCCTACCCCACTCAATCCACTCATTCTTCCCGAACCCTTCGCATTCGCCAGCACGGCGACCCGCACCCCTGCCCGTACCCACGCCGCAACTCCCCCCTGTGCTGTCTTCATCTGAGCTAGCCGACCTGCGCATGCTCGCACGGCCGTACCCCACCACAGGGCCGATCTTTTACCCCTCCGTCCACGCAACCTTGCAACCCATGCCCGTTTTGCCCCTGCCACCACAGCCGCCGCCCTACGCAGCACTCCACCCCTCCCTCGAAATTTACCTGCTCGACCTCTTTGCAGCGACACGGCACCACCCCATGCTCGAGGGCACATTGCTCACGCAACGCGCACACGCCGATGCAGAGGCGCTCGCGCGCGCCTTCCGCGTTCTCAACGGGGACACGCTCGGGACGGCGTTGATCGTGCAGGAGGCGCAGTTGGGGGGAGATCGGGAGACCGCCGCCGCGGAGAGCTTCGACGACGCGAGCTGGACGGAGGACGGGTGGCGTAGCGTGGAGAGCCTCACGCGCAGCGGGCGCATCAAGGCCGAGTTTCTCGGGGTGGATAATGGGGTGCGCGTGCGGGTGAATGGGGACTCGGTGCATTCGGACGGCGCGAGCGCGCTGTCAGGAATGTATGGCGATGGCGGTGGGAGCGGGGCGAGTCCCCCGGAGGCGCAGGCGTTGGCGATGGCGCGTGCGTGGCCGGAGGTGTGGGATGTGTCGGAGGAGGACGTCGCCAGGGTCTTTCCGCGTGCGGTGTCGCACCGACTGAGGGTACGCGATGGCCCCGACGACGAGGTGTTGGGCAGCGTGATGTGGCCTGCAGTACCACCGGAGGGGGCCGCGGCTGCGGCTGCAATGTGCGGAGCTGTGGTGGACGGGAGTCCACAGCCGGACGGCCTTGGGAGACCGATGGGGTGGGATAGGAAAACCGTGAAAGAGATATTGGTGCGGGTACTAGCGGAGGTATGACTCTGCAGATGTAGGGATATATGCACGAAGAGCTTGCGTGTCTGGGACGCCGATGTCGTCCCTACAGGACAGGCGCATCGTCCGGTAGTCGTTCGTTGCCGCGAAATACGACGTGCCCTGCGCGTTCGAATAGCGGTGGGGCGCGAGCTGTAGCCTTGCTGCGCTGTCGTTTGTGTTTCTTCTTACGCAGTGGGATAGGAGATTCTGTAGATTGCGCATCCGCATCCATCGTTGAGGTCTCTCCGCCCGCTTGAAGAGCAGTAGCGGGTGTAGACGGCGAGGGCGCAAAAGTTGTGTTCACAACGGCTACGTTGTCTGCGGGCAGCGTCCCATCAATACCAAGCACAGGCGGCGCGGGTATGCGACGAGAGGCGTTGCAGGTCAAGCATGTATACACCACAGCATGTCGGTGAGAGAATGTAGCTATAGTGGCGCCTAGGTTAGCACATATTTTATTCAGTCGGGCAGTGAACTTACGTCTGACACGCACGATGGCCGTCGAGCCGGGAAGCAGGATAGTATCACAGCTCTTGCACAGCGTCCGTTTAAGAGACGGGTCCCTATGAACATGTGGACAGATGATTAGCAGTCAAGTAGATGTGAAAGGAGGAGCTCGTACATTCTGACCATAGTCTTCTGCCCGACGGTGCGCATTGACCCGATGTAGCTCCTTGAAAGCTCTGCGGTATCTCTCGGATGTCTGACCTTCTGCTTTTTCTTGGATTTCCCTTTAACAGCTGGTGCTGGTTGCTGGGGCTGTACGGCGCTGGTGGGAAGCGTTTGCGATACGGAGTTGAGGTAAGCGCTGGCCTGGTAGAGAAAGTTTATACGTTGGATGATGTCTCTGTTTGCAACACCATGCAGATTCGCAACAGGTTCGCTGTCCTTGTTTTTCTTCGCCATCGCTGCGCCGTAGTGCTGCGATGTGCAATATAGAGTGACAGACGGATGGACTTCGGCGGGAGGTGCTGCGCGTGAGATGGAGGTCGCCAGAGAAGGAAGGAAGGATAAACAGCCGACAACAGCAGAGTATACGTGTCTCATACGTGTTCACACCGCTTCTCCATCGACCACCACGTACGCCGCTCCTCCTTCCGCAGTCTGCCTCTCCTACAAGACCTGTCTCTTTCTCTTCTGCTCTCTCCACGTACCCACTCGCCACGATCCACGACCCAGTCATGAAACGCGCCGCCGACATGGACCACGCCGACTCACCACTCGACGAATCACCCTCCCCGTCGCCCAGTTCCCACACCTCTGAACTGTCTGGTCCCCCCCGCAAACGTGCCCGCTCTGATGTTACACCAGAAGAGCGCAGGGAAGCACGCGCACACCGCAACCGCATCGCTGCCCAGAACTCCCGCGACCGCCGTAAGGCGCAGTTCTCGTACCTCGAGCAACGGGTCTCCGAGCTCGAGGAGGAGAACAGGCAGCTGCGTGCCGGCATGGGTCTCACCGCACCACCACACCATTCCCACGAGCAGAAAGATGAAGAGCGCGAGAAGGACAGGGCTAGAGAAAGGGAGAACGAGGAACTCCGACAGCGGGTCAAGACCCTCGAAGCAGGGTGGGAGGCCGTTATGAAGGCGCTTGCCGCCTCGGGCCTTCCCCTGGACCTTGCCGCTGTCCCACCACCAAGTTCCTCCGTTCCCTCCTCGAACCCCTCCGCGCCCGTTACGTTAGGTCAACCCTCCACGTCTACACTCCCCGTATTCGTGCCCCCCACCCCCATATCACCCGCACCCTCCACCTCCTCGAGCTCCAGTACTCTCTTTGATTCTGATGACTTCGATTCCACTCGCCACCTAGCACGGGTGGCGACCACCGATGCCCCTCGTTTATCATCGGTGTCCCAGCAGCGGGTGGATCTGAACGTTCGTCGAATCGCCTCCAGCTGGAGCTCAATATCCCCCACACCTCATCATACCCGCCGATCATCAACATTGGTGAGGCAGCCCCCACAACGGCGGACGAAGTCGCCATGGACGATCTCTTCCGTGAAATCCTCGCGACTTCCCCCGTCACGCCGCAGGCTCCTCTGCCTCCTGTCTCAGCCGCCCTCACGCCGCGGTCCCCAGCCCAGTCGGTGTCCGAAATCAAACTCTCCCCCGCGCCCTCCGCCAGCGCCCCCGCGGCGTCAATGATGCCCGCGTTGCCGGAGATCGACTGGGAGAGCGAGGTAGAGATGCAGAGATTGCTGGCCATGCTCCCTATGGTTCAGCAGGACGCAACCCTTTCGGATGCCGGCGCGACCGCGGGCGACTTCCCTTCGGCTCTCGACCTCGAGCTGTCGGGATGGGACTTGTCGGGCGCGCTCAGCGTACCGGCCAGTTCCTCGTCCGTGAGCGTCTTCTAGAGCTCCGCCGTCTATGGGTTTTTCTTCGCGTCTTGGGTTCATCGTTGTCTCTCGCATTACCTCTATTTATCGACAAGTAATCTCTCTCCCTTTCTTCTCCTTTTCTCCTCGACTCCTCCATCTCCCAGAGACTTTTTACGATTACCGGACCGTCTCGCTTCTCCCCCCATTACTCCCACCTTCACGTCGCGTTGTAGCTTCCAAGCTGCCGTGTTCAGCCGTGCTTCCGCTCGCGCTTTGTGCTCGATGCTGTCTCCCTTCGCTGGGCTCGTCGTTCTCCCCTTTTGGGTTGATGAATGTCGGGTCCTTCTGTTGGTGAGCGCTCGAGTGCAGGTAAGGATGGTGTCTGGTTGGACGTGGTTTGCGAGGTGTTGTTTCTGTGATGTTGTTTGGTGTACGTCTTGACGCTACGTATTTAAAACACTGTACGTAGCTTGAAACCTGGAGAACGAGATGGCTTGGTTTTCGGAAATTGTGATGTGTGATGTGTGTGGGTGCCCACTGCTGGCCAGGGACTGCGAGCGCTTCCACGCCGCAGACCACTCCTTTCACGCGAGCTACAACGTCTCACGCAGGAACTCCTAGTGCTATCTCTGGTGCGAAGGCATGCATGGACGACGATGTTGCAAATATCGGCCGCCGCTAACAAGTTCGCGAACCCCGGACTTTCCCCAGGATGATCGATCGGGATTACGCCGAGGAGGAGGTCGATGGCGGCGCGATGAGCCTATGACGCCCCAACGGCCCGCCATATATCCCTCGACATGGCGGAGCCAACATACGCCTCTCTTCCTCCTCTTCCACCACAGACAGAACGCAACTGCGACGCCCGCTGCCGAGTACACTGCGACTGCTATAGCTCGGTGGCGCGCGACATAACCTACACAAGTCGCCAACTTATTCCCTCCCGCTCTCTCCGCTTCACACGACCGGAACCACCGTTCAAACTTCGAGGAATATGTCCCAAGACGAACACCAGCTCGCGGCAGCTTCGCCCGACGCGCCCAAGCCGAAACGGCACCCCATCCTCATCATCGTGATGGTACGTCCCGCCTTCCCTTCCGATTCACCCTAACCTGCACCTTACGCCCTTGCTCCCAGGGCGTCGCGGGCACCGGCAAAACGACGCTCGCGCGCGAACTGGAGCGGCGGCTCGACATGGCGTACGTCGAGGGCGACGAGCTGCACCCGCCCGCGAACATCGCGAAGATGTCCGCCGGGATCCCGCTCACGGACGCGGACCGCGAGCCGTGGCTGCAGCTCATCCGCACCACCGCCGAGGGCCTCGCCGCGCAGCAGCAGGCGGACCCTGCGTTCGCGCGCCGCCCTGGCGCGCTCGTCACCTGCTCTGCGCTCCGCGCGTACTACCGCGACCTCCTCCGCGGGAAACCCGTGGTCAGAGCGCAGGGAGAGACGGGGAAGCAGACGGAGCTGCCGGAGCACCTCGCGCCGCCGGCGCCGCACATGCTCCCGGCGTACTTTGTGTACATCAAGGGGGATAAGGAGTTGCTTCAGGCGAGGATATCGAAGCGCGAGGGACACTACATGAAGCCCGGGATGCTCGACAGCCAGTTGCAGACGTTGGAGAGCCCGGAGGGCGAGGAGGGTGTGGTCGTTGTCCCGCTCGACGCGACGACGGAAGAGCAGGCGGACATCGCTGTACGAGGGCTGAACGAGCTCTTGCCGGAACCTCTATGAAGTATGCAGAGAGGGTGAGAAGCAACTAGACATAGAGGATGTACTTTTACCAGTAACTTACCCGCGACTTCGCTCAAGTACTTCGGTCGGGCAACCTTACGATCGTGGTGTGAAAGCGCTCGCGGTCCCTGACCGGCACTCAGGGTGACAGCATTCACGTTAAATCAGGCGGCGAGCGCAGAAAAAAGCACCAAACTGCAGTACATATTCACCAAACTATCTGGCGAGGGGACAAAGCGAAAAGTCGTGGTTGCATTGTATACACTAGAAAGCCAGTTGAAGTCCGACGCCGCCAAACCGCCAAATCCTACAAAGTGAGGTCGCCCGGTGCCGGCGCTGCTGCATCCCCCTCTTCCTTCTTCCCGAGCCCGTGCTTCTGCAGGAGTGCATCAATTTCCGCGGGGTTGTATATCTTCGCCTTTGGCTGCTTGCTCGCATCGAGCGTGAGGGTCGCAAACTCCACTGTGCAGCGCAAAATCCCAGTCAGACATGTAGGAGGAGGTGGCGGGTAAACATGGCAGGACTCACGTTTCTCGCTGCCGAGCGTCGTACTGTCCATCGTCTTGCTCATAACCTTAAGCACGAGCTCGATCGCGTCCTCGACCGAGATGTCCTCTTTGTAATCCTGCTTGAGCAGCGACGTCGCCGTGCCGTTGTTCGCGCCAATGCACGTCGCCTTCCACCCGGAGTAGTTGCCGGACGGGTCGGAGTGGTACAACTGGAACTGGTAATGTGGGTCATACCCGGCGTACAGCAACGAGACGCCGAATGGCCGGAGACCTGCAGGGCGTAATATAGTCAAGACTCCGGAAGGGGAGAACAGGATGGGGTGGGGAAGGTCGCACCTCCGTATTGTGTGTAGCCCTGCTTGAGATCGCATAGCCGCTGCGCAAGAAGTTCTACGGGGATGTCTTCATTGTAGCTGAACAGGTGCCTCTGTGCCGCTTGTCGTGCGTAGTTCACGAGCGAGTTCGCGTCCGCCGTGATTCCCGCCACTCCTGATATGACATTTCTGCCCACGTAAAAGTCGAAGAATGAGCGAACGAACAATCAAACGATGTAGAAGAGGGAGGGGGACGCACGAGTTGAGGAGGAAGATCTTCTCGCCACTACCGCCGTAGCTTCCGCCCGTCGCGCCGGACATGTCGAGCAGCTTTCCCGTGACTTTCTTCTCCGCTGCGAGAACGACGCCGTCCTTCGAGAGCACGCCGATGACGATACCGGCGTGCGAGATCGCCTCCATGGCATACTCGACTGGGGGACCGTGCGTGAGACTGCAGGTTCGCGGTGTATGGAGAGATCGGGACCGTGCTCACTTTGATACAATCGGCCTACGTGTCTCCAAATCAGCTATGAGGCATGCACACGAGTAGGCAGCAGAGCTTACCCTCAGGCGAGAAGATGGTCGTTCGGCCTTTAGCGCAGGAAGTGCATGTTAGCAAGATATCTTCAAGTCACTTTTGCTGAACGCACTATCGTAACGTCTGGCCTGAATGTGTGTGAGAAAGCAGATTCATTCAATGATTTGCGTGCTCACCATGGCGGAAAGTGTAGGAGGTTATGAAGAGGAGAGGGGGAGAGGACAAGGAGATGATCTGGAGCTGAAGTGAGTTGACGCGTTTCAAGGCGTACGCGTCGGCCACTAGCGCCCGGACGTTGCCGAGCGCGTCAGTAGAGCCACTACTATGTAGACCTGATAAGTAGATGATCATAGCTGCAGACATACACTTTGTCCAGAAAACTAACACCGATTGAAAGAGTAAGCTTTAGGAATGATCAAGCTATGGGCTCGTTTGATCTGTATCTAAACACAGCCTACAGCTTCCTGTTCTTGTCGCTTGATATGCGGACGCATATACCCACATATCGGTACGAGGGTACAACGTCCGCGTCAACATTGGTCAAAATCATGCCACACAGACCGGTATGCGAGTAATTATACATTCGTCGGCGGCGTAGGGTACCGTTCACAACAAAGACCACAAAGACAACAGCGCAAGAATACAGCCAGCAGGTCCATCCATCCTCCTCACAAAGTACACGGGCCTTCCGTAGTCTTGGTCCCGATATTCTTGGTCGCAACGATTGTTGGACAACGTGGAGAGGGCGCCATAACCCCAGGAGGATGGAAGTGTCTCATTGTTTGACGATGATCAATCGTGCATCTCATCGTCCTTCGCGATGAAAGACTCCTCGTTCTCGTCATCTTCAGCCGCGTCCTCGGGTTTGAGGCCGGCCTTGGCGAGCGCCTCGGCGGAGGAATAGTCGACACGAACACCGCGCGTGCGACGGCCGCCGGTGTTAATGATTGCACCGGCGTCGAGCTCCGAGTAGTCATCCTCCTGCACGCGTCAAACGCGTCAAAAAGGTGGGATAGTCAGTCAAACACGTCATTTGACCATATACCATAGCATACATGCAACCCAACGCGTCTCATGACGGGACGGGCCACTTACCTCCATGTCCTCATCTTCCTCCTCTTCGTCTTCCTCTTCCTCATCGTCATCATCGTCGTCCATGACCTCTTCCTGGACAAGCTTGCCCTTTCCTTTGCCGGAAGGCGAGGTGATAGACTCCGGCTGGCCTCCGTTGGCGGTGGTGGAGCTGGATACACCGGTGAGACAAGTCGCGTCGAACGCGAGTAAAACAGAACGTACGCGGGGGCAGTCGCGTCAGTAGACATTTTGGTGATAGCAGAAGACCGTAAAGACACGAGGAGGCGAGAGTGGGGACGTGAACGGAGGAGTGAAGGTGGTGGTTGGGAGAAAAGCGGCAAGACGCGTCGCGTGTCGCGTAGAATGGCCGCGTCTGTTTGCGGGTGTTTGCGAGACCGGGGGAAAGCCGATTGTCCGGCAGGGATGATGCCAAATGGGGAACCTCCGGAGGCATTACTGGCGACACCCGGCGGGGCCGGTGCGTGGGAAATGCTTCCGGCATGTCCGACTGTGCGCACACCAACGCCCATAACGGGCGCCCCGAGAACTCCGGCCCCCCAGGGCGTGTAAAACACTGCCAAAAACGTTGGCAACAGCAGGCGAGACAGGCGGGCATAAGACGGCCGTTCGTCATCGACGCGCAGCTAGTATGAATTTAGAAGATGCGCTGATCTGCATGCATTGTAGACGAGCGAATTCGGGCAGGTTTGGGCGGATGTCGGGGCCGCAGGATCAGTGGCTGGCAACGAGTGTGTCAGAGTTCAGATTCCCCATATGATATATCTGGCTCGGCTAGAACAAGGATAGTCTGAGACGTAAGTACGCGCGGCGACCGCCAGCGAGGCTCCGAGCGCCGCGAGGACATCGGAGGGAAGCATGCACCGGTTTGGCAGTATTACAAGCATGCGTCGCCGCGCCGCGTCGCGTCCTGTGTGCAACTGAGCAACGCTGCATGGGCGCAACGAGGTCGCCGGGAGGAGGAAGAGGCCGTACAGACAATAAACAGGTGGAAGCAGAGGAGGGGTGATGGGAAGAGCTGATTGGGAGGGAGGAGGGGGAAGGGCGGTATTTGCGGGCCTGTGGATAGTCGAGTTCGGGATCGGGTGGGACACAATCAGTGCGACTCCAGTCTCTGTCTCGCTCTACGATGTCGATGGGCCCTCGCCGGTGCATCCTCTCAAACACTCCCCCTCCTGACGACCCACCACATCAGCCCGCCCCAGGCCCACACCAGCCGTCCCCGCCCTCGGCCCCCGCCGGCCAGTCAGACACCGAGGTGAAATCCAAGGGGAAGAGCGCAAGCCAGCCCCCGCCCAACGACACTCACGATCTGCCTCCTGCGCCGTCCCCCGATTTGTCACGTTCGCTGTCTGCTAGAGGCGCCAGTAGGCTTTCCTCTTCCTTCTTCCCCGCCCTTGCCAAAGCCCGCCTTGCCCTCGCCGCCGCCTCCTCCTCCTCCCCTCCGCCGCCGCCTACCCCCCGCGATATGCGCTCCTCTAGCGCTCGCGAGCAGACACCAAAGCCCAAACCACTCCTGATTCTCAAGCTCAGCGGCTCCTCTTACCTCGACACCATCATCCGGGACGACAAGACGAAAGATCCTGTCTACATCCTCGAGACTGTGCGCGAGCTCACGAATATTTACCGTCTCGACCATCCACGAGACGAGCCGGTGAAGGCTGCCACGGTGCAATGGCCGCTCCATCCCGTTCGCGTCAAGGGGAAGTCGGGGAGGATGATTCAGTTTGGAAACGGTAGCTGGCGGGAAGCCGAGGACCTCCTGAAGAACGGTCCCCTGGGGAGCACAGCGTACGTCGGACAACTGCTCTACTCGCACTTCCGCTGATCCTGCTTCTAGCATTCGCAAGTTTAGCATCCCCCACTACCCCAATTCCTTGAAGTGGAAGCTCATTCCTGGCAACTGCTTCTGCGTATGTGCTTTAATCCACGCGTCATCTGCCCTCTTCCGTCCATGCTCACCCACATAACCCTCATTATAGTGTGTAACGAACGCTGTCAAAGGCCCTGTCGCTGTGTTGGACGCCGCAACCCTCAGCGCGCCGCCCCGGCTAAAAGTCTACCATCCGCTGATTGAGCGCGACGTCGCTCGTTCGCAAGACAACTACAAGGGCGTCCCTACTGTCTTTCTGGATTATCTTGTTATCACCTCCCTGCTGCTAGTCACCGATGTCCAGGAATGGCTCGATAGGCCGAGGGAGGCGCGCATCCCTGGTAGCAGCTCATACACGATTCAGCGCTGGCTGGCCCTGATCCACGATACGCCCGCGCCGCCAGAACCCCAGCACCCTACCGTCGACCTGAGCCTGACTGTGCCTTCTACGCCGCCTCAATCTGCGACCTTCCCATCTCCTGGTGCTTACTGGGAGACGCAGAGCGGCGTGACCTCACTATCAGGGTCCAACGGCTCAGGATCGGGTACGTCGTACATGGGTGAGCTGTTTACACCCATCACGCCCATCACGTCTGCTACGTCCGCGAACTCGTCCGCGTTTTTCTCCCGATCGGCGGAGGATGCACCTCCGCTACCTCCTATGCCCGGATCGACGTCCTCAGCGGCGTCCCCGTTCGCACATAATGTGGAACCGGGGGCGACGCGCGTACGCGAGCGGCCGAAGTCCAATCCACAGACGATGACGCATTCCGCTAACTCGTCGAGTTCAAACGCGGACACGTTGAACGGCTCGCAGCCGTACGCAGACAGCGGTGAGCAACCGGCACCTATCCAGCACCGATCACGCTCCGCACACACGTTGTCCCTGCCGGGCAACGCAGAGCTTGGTGTGCCGTCCACGTCTGCGCCGACGTCACCACTCCCAATATCGGGCTTCAGCTCACCTTCATCCACATCAAGATCTAGTCGACGTCAGCTCCCTGTGCCTCCCGGACCTGTCCCTGCAAACTCATTCGCGCAACCATGGCTCTATGGCTCCAGTTCATCTGCTTCGTCTTCCTCCAGCCAAACACCTCTCGCCTCTCCGTCTACGCCCCCATCAGCTAGCTCTGCGGCCCAAAGTACACGTTCACACATGCGTGTATCGATACGCACAACGCCGATGCCACCACCACCGCCCCCACCCCAGCACTCAATCCCTCTCCCGCCAAAGCTTGCGCGGGAGCAGCAGGGCTACGGTTCGCGCGGCGGTGCGCGGCCACGTACAGCGCCTGAGCTCGAGAACGGAGGCCGGCGAAGACACTCAGAGTCATTCTCTGCCGGACAGTTTGGCGAGCTATCGCCCGTGGATGATGCGGGGCCAAGTGTTCACCCGTATGCGTCCGCGACGCCTCCTGCTTCGTTCTCACTACGAGGCGACGATGTGCACGAACTCACCAACCATATGCGTGCACTGGGCGCCTCCCCCGGGCCGTCGAGTTTCAGCGAGTCGCGCATGCAGACGAGCCATATGCGTGCGCCAAGCCAGGCAGCGCCGGACTACGACACACACTCTTTCGTGAATTCGCCCCCGCCGTCTCTGCCGCCTCTGCCACTACCAGTACCCCCGGCTTCGAGCTCTGGGACAGGGTCGCGGCCGGTGACACGGCGCCAGCTCACCGTCGTGAATGCGGACGTGCCCGCACCGCCGCAGCATGCAAGAGACCCTGGTTTGGGTATAGGCGGCGCAGCGGCGTGTCCGCCGCCCCCAGGCGAGCTACGACTGGATCCACGCATGTCGTACGCGGACAGCGTCTACGAGATGCCCCCGCCGGCGTACGACGCAATCGACTTTTCGGTGCGGTATGTGCCTGTACCTCCTGTGCCCCCAATCCCGACACATCTCGCCGTAGTCCCCACGCGTCTACCCGTGCCTCCGGCAGATGCGGGCTCAGAGGGGCAGCGCTCCTCCTGAATTCCGCGCCATCCTCCTGAGGGCTAGATTGCCTTGCGTCTCCGGTGGGTCGGTAAGACTTGCGCGTCTCTCCTGGTGTTCACTCTATCCCAAGCCCCCCTCTTTGGCTGTCTGTTGTTGTCCCACATCACTCGCTCGCTCACCCGTTTACTGCAACATCACCTTCTCTTTCACGCAATCTACGCCCATTTCTTTTTGCCATTACTTTCACCTCTGCAACCTCAACCTCGGCTCACCAATCACAATCTCATCTCGTCCCTGCAATACAGTGCCCTGGCTCACATGCAATATTTTCACCCTTTCCCTTGCCTTCCCTGTCCCCGCGCCCGCCGCTCGCAATCAACACGCACTGGATCTTGAGGATCTTGCTGTTCCTGTATCATACATGCTTGCCCTGCTTTACGCTTCGCCCCTGCAGCTTTTGCCCGTAATTGCCGCCTTGTGCTTACTACCACGGTTTTGCCTTTCTTCTGCCCCTCACCCCCACCCCCAACCTCAAATCCACCCTCACCCGCAACGACCTTTCACCCGCATCTCGACTCGCGCATTACTGTACCCGCTCCGCTCCGCCCGTAATACCACTTCATACCCGCTGCGCTCCATATATCCCGCTCCTCCCCCATACCTCCAACCCCACCCGCACTCTCCTTCTCCGCCCGCCTTCATCCCCGCCTTCGTTTCGTCTCCCTATGCTCACCACCCGTTGGACGGGTGTAGATATCCCGGATCCTTCCCCCTTCCCATCCCCTGCTGCGGGCTCGCTCGCATAAGTACGGTACGCGCCCCTACAGTATTGACATCGGCCGCTGGTGCTGCCTCGCCTGGACGGCCGTCGGTTTTATTCCCGTTGCCTGCTATATTGTACAGAAGGTCTCTCGCTGGTTGTACTACTATACACCTCGCCTAACGAATCTCTTTCTCTCCCTGTCCTCATGGTCTGGACGTGCGCAGGGTCGGATGTGTAGGTATGATTGCGCAGCTCTGATCTGGTGGCGATTCTATCACCTTGGACCTTCTTGGACTCAGGGACTGCGGGCGCTTCACGACTGCTATACAGAGTCTCGTCCAGGTCCGCTCGCACGGTCGTCGCCCTGCCCTCGTCCAGTCGACCACCTACTGCGCAGACATCACCAACGTCCTCTCGCCTGCTCACTTCTAGCCCACACCCACACCCGTCCCGAAGCAACCAACTGACCACCATGAACCACGGCGGCGACCACGGCGGACACGGCGGGCACGACATGCCCGGGATGCCGGCAGGCCCGACGTGCTCGATGAACATGCTCTGGAACACGCAGATCGCGGACACCTGCATCGTCTTCCGCTCGTGGCACATCTCCTCGACGACCGCCTTCGTGTTCTCGTGCGCGGTCGTCGTCGGCCTGGGGGTGCTGTACGAGTGGCTGCGCGCGGCGCAGCGCACGCTCGACCGCCGCATCGCCGCGACGCTCTCCGCGCAGGGCAAGGGCAAGGCCGCCGCGGCGAGCACAAGCCGAGGGGAGGGATCGGTGAGTGGCAGGAACAGCCCCGAGTGGGAGTCGGAAGAGGCGGGATTGTTGACTGGTTCGTTGGTTACGAAGGCGCGCGCTGGGTGAGTAGTGCTCTCAGACCCCCGCTCCCATACCGTGCGGGGCCGGGCGTGGCATGATAGGATGCTGACCGACTGCCGTGGCGTTGCAGGACCGCGCTCCCTGTGTCCGCTCGTATCAGCCGTGCGGTGCTGTACGGCGCGTCGGTGTTCCTGTCGTTCTTCCTCATGCTGGTCTTCATGACGTACAACGTGAGTCTCCCGACATGCGACGTTTGGTGTATGCATGAGCTGAGGCCGTTCCCTGGTACATATAGGCATACCTCATCCTCGCCACGGTTGTCGGTGCCGCTCTGGGCAACTTCATCTTCTCGACCCATATGGACATCGACGCGGTCCTCGCCGGTGGCGCAGACGGGAAGGGTATGGCGTGCCATTAAGGCTCGCTCGTTTACATGTTATGGTGGATGTGTACGATATATCTGTGCTTGCCTGCCGTTTGTTGCGATGTGTCGACTGTTGTTTGCTTTTCGAGGAGACCTATACACTCTCAGGATGTCCGCATTTACTAGGATCGATCGGGTCTCAGTTAAATCGAGTGTCTTGCGTGTAAACGGACAAATATCGCGCCACGAATGTCTGGTGGCAAGTAATGGGACAAGATGAAGACAGCAAGGAGAGAATCTAATAACACAGCTATGCGAACAGTTCTGGGGTAATAGGAAGAGCGCACTACAACCAGATCCTGGTACATACTCATCGACGGATGCCTCTTGCGGCGGGAACACCACGACCGCGGCGCGCTGCAAATATAGTCAGCGCTTGTTGGAGTAGGGAGAAGTTTGAGGGAGAACACACCATTGGCTGCAAAATGAAAGGATGTCAGGACTATGCACGAGTAAGGAAAGATCGTAGGACGCACCCCGCATGATCGTTGCCCTTCCACGCGCCGTACCAATACCCCTTCCTTTCATCGCGTTCGGTCCCACACGCTTGAACCTGATCGCACCAGAGTTGAGCGGTCGGCGATTACCCCGAGTCGATGAAGTACTCACATGGGCGCGTTCTGCAGCATGTCCGGGACAATGAAGAATCTGACCATACTTCCCCTGATGTACACCTGATCCAGCTGGGACACACGCCCGTCGCGTTGCGTCACGGTGATGTCCTTCAGCGAGATGTTCAGGTTGTCCTCGGCTGCATAGCGCGATGTCCAAAAGAGAACGGGCGAACGTCAGTATACAAGCAGAAACGAGAACAGAATCGGAAGGGGCGCACCCTCGGCAAGCTTGCCGCGGTATAGCTGGCCAGTTTTGAGCTCGACGGTAATGACATGTCCAAGGGACTCGTGGAGGAGCTTGACGGGAATTCCGAGTCCTGAGGTCGCCATTTCTGCGTCGGAGGGGTGTGCAGGGCGAGGCGAGCTCGAATCCTGAACGAAGGTGCGCGCGCGTCTCTGCCACGTGGGGTCCTCCACTTTAGGGAAAGGCGAGAGACTGGGATTCAGAGTCTGGTGCGCGCCCAGGACAAAATGGGCGCCTACTGGACCGTTCGCGCCGGAGAACCACTTGAGTCTTGGGTTACCGGAGTCGGGTCGCTCTCGCTCGGCAACAACCAGGAATTCGGGGTACACCACTTCCTGCAGGCTGCCACGACCATCGTCTCCTTCATCTCTCCTCATCGCATTGACAACGCGGACGACGGTGGCTCCCTAGGCGGCGACTGTGATCAGGAAGCTCGGCTACGCTTGACGTCAGGTTCATTGTGGGGGCTGAAGCGAGCAGATATTCACCAGGTGGGCAGGTCTGATGCCTCATAGGGCGCGTCATCCCCGTCTAACAGTGTGCCATTAGTGCGGTACGCCCGAGCGTAAATAGGAAAGGCGGCCTCCGAACGCGACGATCCCTTAGGGGTTGCCACCAAGACATTGAAGTCCCATTCCCGCTGTCAATATGCCTCTCAAGAAAGCGTCGTCCGACACCGCGGTACCAGTCCTCCCGAATAACGATGAGGTAATGTCGGGACCTCTGAGCGGCCCGTCGAGCATCGAATGGCGCCGTCAGCGTCTGATGCAGATTGGGAGCTCGGCCGCTGAGGAGGACGAGGACGAGGTGAACGAGACGACTTCCCTGCGCCCCGCCATCGAGACGCGTGCGGCATCTTACGGGACACTCCCGAGGCAAGCACGCGACCCGAAGCAGAAGGCCTCCCACCGCACCCGTCATGCACTCGCGCTCCCGAATCTGCGTATACCCAAGGGTCGGTACACGAACCCGCCCACGCCAAGCGTCGCGTCACCTCGCTCGCTACGCAGCGGCTCCTACTTCGCCACCGTCACCCGCCGCCCAGTCTCCGCGTACGACAAGCCCGTTGCGCAGGAAATTCTCGAGGCAGAAGGTGCCATCAAGACGAATGGAATTCGTGTCTGGTACTCGTCATTCACTTCCATCGACTGGCTACATGACGCAATCAAGGATTCGGCGCGCCAGGCGCGTTTGCGCAAGCACAAATCAAAACGCGGTCGAGTCCGCAAGCAGATCGACAGGAGTATAGGGTGGATCACCGTCACCCTCGTCGGCTTCTTCACCGCTATCATAGCCTTCATGATCGTCCGCGGTGAGCAATGGCTGTTCGATATCAAGGAGGGTTATTGCACACGCGGACTGTGGAAGGCGAAGCGGTTCTGCTGTCCGATCAAAGATGACAACGTGTTTGCACCTCGCATCCCCTCCTTCATGCCGATGTCGCCCGAGGAGTCTTGCGTGGAATGGCGCACATGGGGCGAGTACTTTGTTTCTATGCAAGGTGTTCCGTTGGAGCAGGAAACCGTCGAGTATGTAGTCTACACCGTGGTCGCCGTATGTATCCGTATCTTCCGGGCCGGTATAACTACTTATTATATGTGCATAGATACTCCTCGCCGTCATCTCCGCGGTCTTGACTCTCCGTCTGACTGCATCGACTTTCTTCGTCACTCGGAAAGACTCTGGCGTGTTGTCTTCGACCTTCGCAAGTGGTAACGATGATCAGAAGCTTACGGACCTTCCTGCTGGAGCGGCCCCTCGCAAAGTGTTGTACTACGTGCGTAAGCCCTTTCTTTCTACTTACATGCGAGTACTGTCCGTTGCAGGCCACGAGTTATCCTATAGAACCATCTATCCAGTATTTGCGTTGACCGTATTTCCATAGGCTGCAGGGAGCGGTATCCCAGAGATCAAGACTATCCTGTCTGGTATGCTACAGACTACCTATTTCAGGCCTCTTTACTGAACACCGTACACAAGGTTTTGTCATCCACGGTTACCTGGGCGGAAGAACCCTCTTCACCAAGTCTGTCGGCTTAGCCCTTTCCGTGGCCTCTGGATTGTCTCTCGGTGAGCTAGCATAGGGTATCGCCTTCTTGGTCCGCTTCTCATCCCCGGCGTCCTCAATAGGCAAGGAAGGGCCCTTTGTGCATATCGCGTCATGTGTGGGTAACATCGTCAGTAGGCTATTCAGCAAGTACGAGACCAACGAAGGTATATGCTCCCGCTATCCACCTGCGCGACTATATGCTCACATCTCTCCTAGGCAAACGGCGTGGTGTCCTTAGTGCGGCATGTGCAGCAGGTGTTGCAGTCGCTTTCGGGGCTCCCATCGGAGGCGTGCTATTTAGTCTCGAGGAGGTGTCCTACTTCTTCCCGGCGAAGGTCATGTGGAGAAGGTATCAATATATGCATATACCTAACATGTGCAACGCTCACCCCGCCACACAGCTTCTTCTGTGCGATGGTCGCCGCCATGACCTTGCGGTTCCTCGACCCTTTCGGTAGTGGGAAGCTGGTTCTGTTCCAAGTGACATACGACAAGGTGATTTTTGCTGGTTCTGCGCATACTTGTGCACAATTAATGTGTTCCTAAGGATTGGCATGCATATGAACTGGCCCCCTTCCTACTCCTGGGCGTCTTTGGTGTAAGCTCTTCCCAGACATCTGCTCTCTACCGACCTGACCACTTTCTATAGGGAGTGTACGGCGCAGTGTTCTCGAAGCTTAACTATCGCTGGACTCGGGACGTACGCAACGCGACGTGGCTCAAACGGTACCCCGTGGTGGAAGTGATCCTAGTGCGTACCGCAGGTTCTGATATCGTCCGACTGGATTATCGACTCCACTTCAGGTCACCCTCGTCACAGCGATCCTCAGCTTCCTGAACCCATACACGCGTATGGGCGGCACCGAGCTCGTCTACAACCTCTTCGCCGAGTGCCGCTCCGGCAGTGCGAACACGCACTCCGGGCTGTGCGTCCTCGACCCGCCCACCCAGGCTATCCTCGTGATTCAGTCGATCTTCATCGCATTGATCGTGAAGGGCGCGCTCACCATCGTGACCTTCGGCATCAAGGTCCCCGCGGGTATCTTCATCCCCACGCTCGGAGGTACGCCCGTCATTGGTCAAAGATACATTGTGGATCTGGTTAAACGCTCTAACACAGTCGGCGCATGCGCCGGACGCATCCTGGGCATCCTCATCCAATGGGCGCAGTACACCTATCCCACCAGTCCTGCCTTCACGATGTGCGAAGGTGACCTCGATTGCGTTATCCCCGGCTTGTACGCCATGGTTGGCGCCGCGGCTACGCTTTCCGGTGTCACCGTAAGCTTCCTTTCCTCCCTCCTATGTGCAACTCGCTCACAATACGGCTGGCAGCGCACGACTGTCTCGCTCGCTGTCATCATGTTCGAGCTCACCGACACGCTGACGTACGCTGTCCCGGTTATGCTCTCGGTGCTCGTCGCGAAGACCATTGCGGACGCGCTCGAGCCGAAGGGCATCTACGACCTCGTCATCGAGCTCTCACAGCTGCCGTACCTTGACGCCAAGCACGACTACGTCTGGGGAAGCCTCCAGATCAACGACGTCGTACGTATCTCCGCACTCTTTCCATTGTTTGAGCCCGTCCGCTGATGAGTGTGTCAGACGGACCGCGACGTGGAGGTGCTGCGTGTCGACCACGAGAACACGGTGAAGAGTGTGCGTGATCAGCTGCAGGCGCTCGTCGAGGGGGGCAACTCGGACAGCGGCTTCCCGATTCTACGCCCCGACGGCGAGGGCACGCGTATGGTTGGCTATATCGGCGCGAACGAGCTTGAGCACGCCCTGAGTGAGTCCTCTCCACCCCTGTTTATTCATGAACGATTAGAACGTGAGTTGACGCGGGTTCCGAAGGCATCGTCGCGGACGAGCCGGACGAGATCGTCAAGTTCCACACGAACGCGCCGCACCACGGCGGCCCAATGGCAGGCTCTGTGTCGTCGCTCGCAGAGTCGGGCATGAACGTCGTCGGCTCAGATCCGTACGACTTCAGCTGCTACATGGACCAGGTGCGCAACAGTCATTCGTCGTAATGGAGGGTTGGCCAAAGCTGACATTAATTGGTGCACTCTCACAGGCGCCACTGACGGTGCAAGACAACTCGCCGCTCGAACTCGTCCAACAACTGTTCACAAAGCTCGGGGCACGGTACGTCGTCGTCACCGACACCGACGGCCACTGTGAGTATCTCCTCTCCGGAACATTTAGCCTCCTGCAGGACAGCGCTGATCGAGATCCCTTGCATGACAGACGAGGGCGTGATCGACAAGAAGACGTGGCTGGCTTTCCTCGACGAGCTTTCGCACAAGTATGAGTGATCCTCGGTCGGCTCCTTCCTCGCATCCGACCCCCGCCGAACTATAGCTACCAAGTCCTACATCTCTGTTGTCACTCCGACTCATCCATGGACATGCCGCTCAACCTACTGCACTGGTATCGGATCTTCCGCTCCCTCACAATGTACTAACCCCCACGTTATCGATACCCATCGGATCTTCTCGATGCAATATACTACGTTTCGCACTTGCGAGGTTCCGAGGTTCGTGCACAAGTACTGTCAGCCAGACAGCCTCTGCCAGTGGCGGGCACCGGAAGCGAGCAACGTCGCCATGAGGCTACCGACCTACCACCCGAACACGGCGGGCCGGTAAAGTTCAACATGCGTCATTCTGTTCGGCTCACTCACTGACATGCGAGGCTGACGCCGATCTTGCCCTTGTCGGCTGCGGACTGTACGCCTCTGCGCGGTCTGCGAGGCGTATAAAGACCCGCCCCCGGACGCCCTCTGATCTCCAGACACTCTTCCCCCTTCCTCATCCTTCTCGCTCGAGTTGTCTTCCCCCCACTCCTCTTTCCGCCCAACTGCCGCCTCCGATTACCATCACTCAAATGCCACCGCCCTCACCCACCCCATCCACCCACCCCACGTCCTACGCCTGATGCAACTTCTCGAGCTCTGGTAGCTCTGCGCGACTACTACGCGCATTCTTCTTCTCCGCCCTCCACAGCCTTCCTTGCGGATTCGTGTCCTGGAGTGTGCCTTCACGTGGTTCAGGGTATTAGGCAGTGAGTTCTCTTACTGCGACAAGCTTCCGCGCTGTAAGCTGACGATGCTACGACGTAGCTGCCCCTTCCTTAACAAGAGGGAAGCCACTCGAGCTGGGGCGCCGCCCACCACGTAGCTCGTATAGCATGGTGCTGGGTGGGCGCCGAGATGTCATAGATCCTCGGGGCATCCAACGATGTTTCCTCAGCTCGCTGCTCCGCGGACACGACCCAGCGGCCATATACGATGCTGGCAGTACGTCTTCGCGCCCCTGCCTCGCTCGCTCTCTCTTCGCTAACAATATGTTTCTCTCAGTCGTCGGCACCGCTACACAGGAAGTGAAGCTGAGAGATCGGGCTGTCTTCGTGACGGCGCTATTTACCCTACCCTTCTATCCGCCTCAGATACCGACCCTCCACTCCGCCCATGCGGAGCCTGCGCAGTGCGCATGCGCCCCCGACTGTCTGGTGTTGTACGTCGCATTTTTT